TTGTTTTACCCCATATGTAACTCTGTTGTTGTTTTTTATCGCACTGCTTTGCTTTATCTTGGCCAGGTCGCAGTTGTAAATGAGAACTTGTTCTCAACTGGCTTACCTGGTTAAATAAAGGTGAAATAAAAAAAATAAAAAAAACTGGTCGATTGTTTGGTCAATAGGCGGTTGGTCGACCGAGATTGCTTTTAGTCGAGCAGTAGCAAAAAATATATATATAATGGTGTACAAGACGCGTGTCTGATTCGCACCTGTCTGAGTGGACTGATCCATTGTGGAGGCTGTGGGGATGGCACAGTCCATCAGTCTAAGACATGTGCTACTGAAATTGTATATGGTTATATTACATAAGAACAATGGTGCAACACTAATACAAATAATATTATTTTATAACATGCGCTTCTCCTGCGTTGGATAGTAGTCGCTGTCCACAGTTCTGAAACACATCAGCGCGCTGTTGAATTGGCGCCCTTTCCTAGACCATGTTGCTATATGCATAATAGCAAAGTTAACCAGAATATTGGTGTTGAGAACAATGCGGCGGAGGTAGCAGCAGAATGAGGAGATGAGAAAACAGCCCTCGCCTTATTGTCTAAGTGAGGAGAGAGGAAACCCCAACTTAATTAGGTCTATAATCAATAGCCTAACTGTTAATGTGCCTGGCTTTATAAATCATCAATATATCTACAGAAATAAGACAGATCCTGCTTCTGTTGCCTGTTTGAGTGTTTGTTTAATAGCCTACTGATTCCTTGAGCACCAAACCTCACGTAATGACATGCCACGTAAACAATTTCACAAATTTGGCTGTTATTAATCTTTGCTTTACTATAATGAAGGCTTTACACTTTTTTTCCCCCGTTAGAACAGCCTCTCTGGTATGATTTATAATTTAGTGTTTACACTGTTCCAAATTTTCCAAAAAAATCATATTAATAATAACAGTAATTTTTCTTGATCCCCTTATTGTTGTTATTACTATTATTTATTTATTATGATCATAATCATGTCATTATCATTAGTAGGCTTAGTATAGCAGGCTTGTATAACCACCACCGGTCTAAGGCACTGCATCTCAGTGCTTGAGGCGTCACTACAGACCCCCTGGTTCGATTCCAGGCTGTATCACAACCGGCCGTGATTGGGAGTCCCATAGGGCGGCACAATTGGCCCAGCGTCGTCCGGGTTTGGCCGGTGTAGGCCGTCATTGTAAATAAGAATTTGTTCTTAACTGACTTGCCTAGTTAAATAAAGGTAAAATAAATTGATTGAGCTGTACGCCTAAGAGCGCATCATGTTTAGTCTTAATACCAGTAACTTACTTAGGCCTATATTTCAATACTTATATAGGCGACTGTATCAATCAATAATTAATTCATGTCATCACACAGCATACGAGTCGTTCATGATTTGAAATGCAATCAAGCATTTTAGTTTTAAAATAAAGCGAGCCTTGAATAATTCGCTTGCACAATAAATAAACCGTTCCATTTCGGAAATCGCATTCACGAATGAATGCGACTGTTTTTAGTCTTTGCTGTAATAATAAAGGCTTTACAACATACTCTCTGGTACGCTTATAATTAATTAATTTAGTGTTTACATTGTTCCAAACGGTCAGAAAAATTAGATTGTAATCTATACAGCACCTGTTTGGCACACATAATATGCACCCAGCGCTTGCACATTATTTTTCTTGATCTCCAGTATTTTCCACAACTAGTCACATTTATTCCACCCATCTGACCTCCCCTTTACCTCCTGAGCAACCAGTAAACATTCCCCCGTTTCCAGTTTATTTGTTAAGTCCTCTGCATCCATTTTGCTGCCACATGTGTTACGGTGTTCAGAGTTTGTTATAACCAATTTATTGATGTGATTATGCTATAGTTCAGGCCCTAATGCCCTATTCGGACGGGATACATTTTTACATGGCAGGAGAGTAACAATTCCAGCCAGAATAGCCTACTGTTTTTAGGCAAACTCCCAGTTCCTCTGATAATACTAGTCCCGTGCGAATCGACATCCCTGTGTTTTGAGAGAAATTTCTGAGTTTGACAGGTATTGTTCGCGGTTTGCGCAAGAAAACAATAACTGATTCGATTTAATGTAACAAAGTGTTGCGCATAGCCTATATATGAAGGGGCTACATGTAGCCTATCAACTTTCACAGTGAATGCTTTTGTTTATATGGTTTGTGCGTATGAATTGAATATTGCCAAATGCATCAGTAAAATAATATTGAGCCTATTTATTAATGCAACCCTTGCTGTTAATAGATCGCAAAGCAGCATACAACTGACCTAAACGTTTGGAAATGCTAAGTTAACTTTCTCATCCATAGCCTTAAAACACATCTCAAGTGCAATTGCATTGTTTAGCTCACATCTGAAGACTGGGCGTATTTAGGACGTACTGTGGATTGCTAAAACATCCTAATGATTATGATCACATTTCCTCAATTCAAATATTATGGCGACGCTGTACCAAAGATGGTCTGGTATGGCTTAGAAACTTGGGAACCAAGCTGGAGTTATCAGTGTGGCCCGATCACCTGGACAGGTTGAAGTACTGTAATAGTACTTGTCATAACTGTACGTTTATTGAAAAGGAAAAAAAGAATTACAGGGGGCAGTTTTAGAAAAAAAACTAATCCCGTCCGAATCGTCCTCTGGAATAACGGACATTCTGGGGTAATTACATAACCACCATTCTCTAGTAATACTAGTCCCATGCGAATAGGCCTTTGGTCACGTGCGATGCGATGCATACATGTGCCACGTAAAAAGAGCAAGAGTTGAGGGAATGTTTTTCCCAAACAAATGAGGGATTTCGTCAACAGAGCTTTTCAGTCAGAAATGGCTGTAATTATGTTGCAGCTTCAGCAACAAGGACAGCGCGATAAACACTGACGTTCTGTGGTCGCTGCAGCAGGGAGGAGAGGGAGACAACTGGTGCTAGTCACACAGTCACTCGCTGTCATTTTTTTTTTTTTTTAACACAGCGCAGCAATCAAATAAATTGCTGATCGGACTCCCTCTAGTCATTTGTGTCTTAATTATTTAATCAAACAGTGTGCTTAAAGCATCAGACAAGCTCAGTGAATATAGTTGATTTGATGAAAACACATAGCATGTGTCTATATGGAGAAATACAAGTTCAAACATTTTTTTAGGAACAGATGACTTTTGGTCGACCAAGATTTTTTGTCAGCCCTATCACACGATGGCATCTGACTGAACTATGTACAGTGGGGGGAAAAAAGTATTTAGTCAGCCACCAATTGTGCATGTTCTCCCACTTAAAAAGATGAGAGAGGCCTGTAATTTTCATCATAGGTACACGTCAACTATGACAGACAAAATGAGAGAGAAAAAAATCCAGAAAATCACATTGTAGGATTTTTAAGGAATTTATTTGCAAATAATGGTGGAAAATAAATATTTGGTCAATAACAAAAGTTTCTCAATACTTTGTTATATACCCTTTGTTGGCAATGACACAGGTCAAACGTTTTCTGTAAGTCTTCACAAGGTTTTCACACACTGTTGCTGGTATTTTGGCCCATTCCTTCATGCAGATCTCCTCTAGAGCAGTGATGTTTTGGGGCTGTCGCTGGGCAACAGACTTTCAACTCCCTCCAAAGAATGGGGTTGAGATCTGGAGACTGGCTAGGCCACTCCAGGACCTTGAAATGCTTCTTACGAAGCCACTCCTTCGTTGCCCGGGCGGTGTGTTTGGGATCATTGTCATGCTGAAAGACCCAGCCACGTTTCATCTTCAATGCCCTTGCTGATGGAAGGAGGTTTTCACTCAAAATCTCACGATACATGGCCCCATTCATTCTTTCCTTTACACGGATCATTCGTCCTGGTCCCTTTGCAGAAAAACAGCCCCAAAGCATGATGTTTCCACCCCCATGCTTCACAGTAGGTATGGTGTTCTTTGGATGCAACTCAGCATTCTTTGTCCTCCAAACACGACGAGTTGAGTTTTTACCAAAAAGTTATATTTTGGTTTCATCTGACCATATGACATTCTCCCAATCCTCTTCTGGATCATTCAAATGCACTCTAGCAAACTTCAGATGGGCCTGGACATGTACTGGCTTAAGCAGGGGGACACGTCTGGCACTGCAGGATTTGAGTCCCTGGCGGCGTAGTGTGTTACTGATGGTAGGCTTTGTTACTTTGGTCCCAGCTCTCTGCAGGTCATTCACTAGGTCCCCCCGTGTGGTTCTGGGATTCTTGTGATCATTTTGACCCCACGGGGTGAGATCTTGCGTGGAGCCCCAGATCGAGGGAGATTATCAGTGGTCTTGTATGTCTTCCATTTCCTAATAATTGCTCCCACAGTTGATTTCTTCAAACCAAGCTGCTTACCTATTGCCGATTCAGTCTTCCCAGCCTGGTGCAGGTCTACAATTTTGTTTCTGGTGTCCTTTGACAGCTCTTTGGTCTTGGCCATAGTGGAGTTTGGAGTGTGACTGTTTGAGGTTGTGGACAGGTGTCTTTTATACTGATAACAAGTTCAAACAGGTGCCATTAATACAGGTAACGAGTGGAGGACAGAGGATCCTCTTAAAGAAGAAGTTACAGGTCTGTGAGAGCCAGAAATCTTGCTTGTTTGTAGGTGACCAAATACTTATTTTCCACCATAATTTGCAAATAAATTCATTTAAAAATCCTACAATGTGATTTTCTGGAAAAAAAATCTCAATTTGTCTGTCATAGTTGACGTGTACCTATGATGAAAATTACAGGCCTCTCTCATCTTTTTAAGTGGGAGAACTTGCACAATTGGTGGCTGACTAAATACTTTTTTCCCCCACTGTAGCTAACCTAGAGCAGCTGAAGAATTCAGTTTGACAGGCAAGATGCACATTGCTTTACTTTCATCAATATTAGTTGACGACTGCAGTGCACCATCTAAACTACTGCACCTTTTCCCTCATCGATACTCCTTCCTTGTCATTTCAGATCGTCTCTCTGGACACCATGGGTCGCCACTTTGGAGATTTGGCCAAGATCAGGCATGTGATTACCTACAGTCTGTCCCCCTTCGAGCAGAGGGCTTTCCCCAAACTACTTCTCCAAAGGAATCCCCAACGTCTGGAGACGATTCACATCATCCGTCTTCAAAGTTGCTCCCCGTAAGTACTCCCAGAGTTTGGACGTTGGTTTTGAAGAACCAGGCAGGGTGTTCCCTGTTATCAAACATCTCCAGCCAAATTCTGGATGTATTTCTGCTCTAGTCTTGATAAATATGGCCTCATGTAGCCCAATATTAGACCACTGATTTTAATTAATTAATAAGACAAGGTCTAAGGGTGTTCCATAGAGACAGTGTGTGTGAAGTCATTGTGCAATGACTACCTGCTAGCAACATGTGTCCCGCGTCCCAAGCTACAGCCATAATCGGTAGAACGGTTCTGAGTGAACAAGAAACTATTATCCAGTTATCCAGTTTTTAGATGCTACCCCCCCACTCCCCAAATGAAAACCAAACATGGATTCCATGTTGTATTCTCACTTTGTGCGCAAACCAGTCTGTTTCACACCTGTTTGTCTTCATCCTCCCAATATGTGCACCATGCTGCCTCCGACGGGAAGTAGAGGAAACGTGTGAGCGCAAAGCCAGAACAAAACATTGCCATCCATATTTTGTTTTGATTTGGGGAGGGGGGTAGCATCTAAACTGGATTTAATAGTTTATTTTTCACTGCCCGGGCGACGCAAACTGTGATTCTCCAATCGGGAACCGTCTACCGATTTTATTGATGTAGCTTGGTACACAGGACACATGCTGCTAGCATGTAGTCATTGGACCATGACTTATCTCGCACGTTGTTGCTATGGAATGCCCTTAGACCTCGTCTTATTAATTAATCAGAGGTCTAATATTGGGCTAGGCCTCGTGTAGGTAATGAACAGATGTGGCTGTTAAGGCTTCTACACACCCATTTAACTACAACCAACCTAACCATCTGTGGACAGGTGACAATCTTCCCAGTGTGTAGTCTTGTTAGATGTAGTTGGATAGATGTGTAGAAGCTTTTAGACTGCTGTTATGCTTCCTAAAGCCATGTCCATTGCGACTTAGTCTACGAGAGTTGGTGCTCTGAGGCACACTGTCTGCCCATGTTAAAATCCCTGCATCGCCTCTTGTATCTTTCAGTGTACGCCTCCCAAGCCACATCCCTGTTTTCAGTCGCTAACCCGTCTTCTCCGGTTCTTCTTTTCCAGCAATGATCTGCATGTACCTGACCTACACCTGGGGCAACCATGTCCACTCGGAAGGAAAGAGGAAGGTCGCTGCCGACTACAAGAATGAAGAGTGAAACCTTCCATCTTGTCTTTCTTGTTTAAACCTTCACTGTATGTTTTGTCAATAAAGACAATATTTATCACAGTGTTTTTCCTCTAAATTTGATACCACCTCACCTGGATATTTGGAATTAATGGTTTGCCATCTTTTGCCTGATGGGACACTACGGAGACGTATAGATAAGAATGACCTGTCATTTGTCACTTTTAGTGTAAAATTTACAAAGCAATATCACAATATTACACAGCAATGAGGTTACTGCTCAACGCAATTTTACACAGGCTAACCGGCCTGTATAAAATACTGAACTATATTGTCAAAAGTAGTAGTGTGGGCAATGCAAGCCTACAACACCATAATAAAAACCTTTCTAATACAATAACATTTTATTAATATCAAGCAAGAAACAAAAGTTTAATGCCATTGTGGTTCTAGACTAAAATAACCATTTTCTTTACAACTCACCCAAGAATGAACATTGAGTATTTCATAAGAGGTACATTTGCCGTAATCATTTATTGTTAAAATAATCTAATTCAATACATTTTGTACGTTAGAATAATTTGTCACAAATGATCCAGAACGGTCCATAGAATTAACCCATATACATACAGTTCTAGTCAAAAGTTTGGACACACCTACTCATTCAAGGGTTTTTCTTTATTTTTACTATTTTCTACATTGTAGAATAATTATGAAATAACACCTATGTAACCACCTCAAACTGAACCTCGCAACGGGGAAGGACTTCCCGTTCCATGATCTCGCCATCACGGTTGACAACTCCGTTGTGTCCTCCTCCCAGAGTGCAAAGAGCCTTGGCGTGACCCTGGACAACACCCTGTCGTTCTCTGCTAACATCAAGGCGGTGAGCCGATCCTGTAGGTTCATGCTCCACAACATTCGCAGAGTACAGCCCTGCCTTACACAGGAAGCGGCACAGGTCCTAATCCAGGCACTTGTCATCTCCCGTCTGGATTACTGCAACTCGCTGTTGGCTGGGCTCCCTTCCTGTGCCATTAAACCCCTACAACTCATCCAGAACGCCGCAGCCCGTCTGGTGTTCAACCTTCCCAAGTTCTCTCATGTCACCCCGCTCCTCCGCACACTCCACTGGCTTCCAGTTGAAGCTCGCATCTGCTACAAGACCATGGTGCTTGCCTACGGAGCTGTGAGGGGAACGGCACATCCGTACCTTCAGGCTCTGATCAGTCCCTACACCCAAACGAGGGCATTGCGTTCATCCACCTCTGGCCTGCTGGCCCCCCTAACTCTGCGGAAGCACAGTTCCCGCTCAGCCCAGTCAAAACTGTTCGCTGCTCTGGCACCCCAATGGTGGAACAAGCTCCCTCACGATGCCAGGACAGCGGAGTCACTCACCACCTTCCGGAGACACTTGAAACCCCACCTCTTTAAGGAATACCTGGGATAGGATAAAGTAATCCTTCTACCCCCCCTTACCCCACCCCAAAGAAAAGAAAAGAAATTATATTGTAAAGTGGTTGTCCCACTGGCTATCATAAGGTGAATGCAACAATTTGTAAGTAGCTCTGGATAAGCGTCTGCTAAATGATGAAAATGTAACCAAAAAAGTGTTAAACAAATCAAAATATATTTTGCATTTTAGATTCTTCAAAGTAGCCACCCTTTGCCTTGACAAAGTTGTGTCCAAACTTTTGACTGGTACTGTATATATACACAAAAGTATGTGGACACCCCTTCAAATTAGTGGATTTGGCTATTTCAGCCCGTTGATGACAGGTGTATAAAATCGAGCACACAGCCATGCAAAGGTCCCGTGTAGGTCAGTTGGTAGAGCATGGCGCTTGCAACGCCAGGGTTGTGGGTTCGATTCCCATGGGGGGCCAGTATGAAAAAATGTATGCACTCACTAACTGTAAGTCGCTCTTGCGTCTGCTAAATGACTAAAAAAATAAAAAAAATACTCCATAGACGAACATTGGCAGTAGAATGGTAAAGTTTGGTGGAGGAGGAATAATGGTCTGGGGCTGTTTTTCATGGATCGGGCTAGGCCACTTAGTTCCAGTGAAGGGAAATCTTAACGCTACAGCATACAATGACACTCTAGATGATTCTGTGCTTCCAACTTGGCAACTGTTTGGGGAAGGCCCTTTCCTGTTTCAGCATGACAATGCCCCCATGCACAAAGTGAGGTCCATACAGAAATGGTTTGTCGAGATCGGTGTGGAAGAACTTGACTGGCCTGCACAGACCCCTGACCTCAACCCCATCGAACACCTTTGGGATGAATTGGAACGCTGACTGCGAGCCAGGCGTAATTGCCTAACATCAGTGCCCGACCTCACTAATGCTCTTGTGGCTGAATGGAAGCAAGTCCCCGCAGCAATGTTCCAACATCTAGTGGAAAGCCTTCCCAGAAGAGTAGAGGCTGTTATAGCAGCAAAGGAGGGACGAACTCCATATTAATGCCCAAGAGTTTGGAATGAGATGTTCGACGAGCAGGTGTCCACATACTTTTGGTAAATGTAGTCTAGCATGAACATGCCGTTCCTGTGCTAGTCTTTCTAGACAACCGCGTTGCCTCCGATCATTTTGAAATGCTCCGCATAGGGTCTGGTTTTCGAGACCTGTGCCATCATCCTCATGGGACTTTTATACTGAAATCTATCATGTTGAGGTGTAGGAAGTGAGCTTGTTCGTAGGCATCAACAATTTGCCGGCTAGTAGCGCACGCAGTTGTGGCTTCATGGAACTAGGGAGGGATAATGAATTAAACCAGAACGTACATTGATACATTCAGTTTGCGGTCTGGTCTGTCATATTTAGGAATTAACTATTAGCCTATTGAGTGCTTTTCCATAGTGTTATCTGTTTATTGAGTAACATTTTGTGAAGATGTCTGTGGTAGGATTCGACGTCGGTTTCCTGAACTGCTATGTAGCGGTAGCTCGAGCCGGAGGAATAGAAACTGTAGCCAATGAATACAGCGATCGATGTACACCGTAAGTTACATTTATATTTGTGTGGTTTATGCTGTTTGGTGTGACTTGTAATTTTCAACCTGTTTGCCTCTAAAGTGATTGAGAAAATTGGAGGGATGGGAACACATTTTGTGGCCTTGGCAGCGCGACAGACAAGGGAGGTGCGCTAACAAGCTAGCAGGCTAACATTAGCCTAGCCGAGCAGCGTTGCAACACCGAACGTGAATGTTATTGCTAGCTAGAGAGATCAACCCATGACTTGTAAAAACGAACAATCGTTATACTCTGTTAGCTATTTTACCAATTAAACGTTACGTCATTTGACTTTTGAAGCCTTGACTTACATTCCCCGCGTAACATCTTGAGTGTTTTAGAAGACAATGGGGGGGGGGGGGGGTCATTGTTGTCCCCCTTTCAAGGGGTTCATTTTTTATTGAAGTATGAATGGACGCATGAATGCGACCGGGAAGAGGCCTGCAATCTCTCTACATCAGTGGACTTGTTCATAGGAATCATGTGTATTCTGCTCTGTATTACCAGCCAGCTAATAAAAGGCATTTAGATGGGCAATTTAATACTACTGCGTTATCTTAACTAGCGCTGTTATCTTATTATGGAGAGCCCCGTGAAAACTGACAAGCATTTTACTGATGTTTATTCCGCTGTTATACTTTCAGAGCATGCGTGTCATTTGGACCACGGAATCGATCTATTGGTGCAGCTGCAAAAAGCCAGGTATGTATTGATAAAGGACGCCCTCTACTTTATTATTTATTTGACTGGTGACACATTGAGGGTATGAATCTTCTAGCAAGTTCTATGGTTTTCTGCTTATGCATATAATTAGGGATTTCATATCCAGGCCAATATTTGATTACCCGATGGAACTATTAAAAACAGAAAAGCAAATCATTATGCATTTATGCCCTCAAAGGACCCCAAATAAAACCATGGGGTGAATTTTGCCAGTCATATTTATATCTAAAGTATTTGATCAGGGATTTCAGCTATTCCATAATTTCTGATTGCTCCTGCCTCATTAGGTAACACATCAAGTTACTTTTTAATTTGAGAGAATGATTTATAATAACATCATGTTCTTTCCCCGCTAATCCCAAATCAGGTCGTCACAAACTGCAAGAACACAGTCCAAGGGTTCAAGAGATTTCATGGCCGGGCGTTTTCTGATCCATACATCCAGCGTTTGAAATCCAGCCTGGTTTACGACCTGGCACAGATGCCTTCGGGTACCACTGGCATCAAGGTAAGGAGAGATAACAGTGATGATTAGTTCTGCTTAAAAGGGTGGGGAATATATGAATATGCCTAATGGAGAGATGGGTCCCTTTGAGTGCCAGCCAGATTAGTCATCATCCTTGTCTAATCTGAAATCAACATAGATATTGGTTGTCTATCTGTCTGTCTTTGCCGTAACAATACTTCCATGTGTTATTCTGTATTGTACTCTACCTGTGCGAACCCCAAAATCAATCAAGCAATCATTTACAATGACAACTGGTGTCTGTGTGTCCTTTAGGTGATGTACATGGAGGAGGAGAAGGTGTTCAGCATTGAGCAGGTCACTGCCATGCTTCTGACCAAGATGAAGGAGACAGCTGAGCATGCACTGAAGAAACCTGTGGCTGACTGCGTTGTCTCTGTGAGTATCAATCTGCAGTGTGCTAGTGTGCACTGGGCGCTACACTTTACTATAAAGACCAGGAATTTGGTCATATGTAAAACTGAGTTTGGACTGTTAGACTAAAGACCGGATATGGATTATTTTTTTGGAAATTGCGTTTCTAGGCCTGCTGGCTAATCACAGCCTATGTCGTCCTCCCCAGGTCCCCTGCTACTACACGGACGCAGAGAGGAGATCAGTGGTGGACGCAGCACAGATCGCTGGACTCAACTGTCTGAGGCTCATGAATGAGACAACTGCAGGTATAGCGAGAGCTGTGTTGACCCCTAACAGTTACTGTAGCTATTTAACTCAACCACACCTTATTATTTGATATTAAGGTGATTTGCTGTTTCAAAATAAATAATGATTATACTTATCTTCCTTCCAGTGGCGTTGGCGTATGGAATCTACAAGCAGGACCTCCCTGCCCCAGAGGAGAAGCCCAGGATTGTGGTGTTTGTAGACATTGGACACTCTGGATACCAGACCTCTGTCTGTGCCTTCAACAAGGGCAAGCTGAAGGTGGGTGTATTTTTATCAGGAGACAGAGGAGGCTATGGGGGTCATGCTGATTCTACAAAATAACAGTTTTTACTGAAAACTGAAATGTCCACAGAGAAGTTACAGACAACCTCAATAACCTCTTGGCTAATAAACAAAACAAGTGCTCTAGGGCCCGGAGTTGTTCTGGTCAGGTCACATGGCCTCAGGAAAAACTCCCGGTCCTCATAATTAGTTTTTGCTCATATTCATATTTTTTTTAATATCATTTTATTTTCCCTCAGATCCTTGCGACGGCCTGCGACCCAGAGCTGGGTGGGAAGGACTTTGACGAGATGCTGGTGAGACACTTCTGTGAGGAGTTTGGGAAGAAGTACAAGCTGGACGTGAAGACCAAGCCCAGGGCTCTGGTCAGGCTCTACCAGGAGTGTGAGAAACTCAAGAAGCTGATGAGCGCCAACTCCTCAGACCTGCCCCTCAACATCGAGTGCTTTATGAACGACATTGACGTCTCCGGAAAACTCAACAGGTATAGTGTTTTGTAGACTATGAGATTTTTGCTATCTCAACTGAGCACCTCAGAATGCATGGCGGTGGTCCTTGATATTAACAGGTCTTAGATGATCTATTAGATATGAGTCATTATTTTTGTCTGTGATGCAATGACCAAATGACGAAGTTATGCTGAACAAAAATATAAATGCAACATGCAACAATTTCAAAGATGTTACTGAGTAACTGGTCATAGGAGGGAATCAGTCAATAGAAATACATTAATTAGGCCCTAGTCTATGGATTTCACATGAATGGGAATACAGATATGCATCTGTTGGTCACAGATACCTTAAAAGACATGGGCCTCGGGATCTTGTCACGGTATTTCTGTGCATTCAAATTGCTATTGTCCATAGCTTATGCCTGCCCATACCATAACCCCACAGCCACCATGGGGCCCTCTGTTCACAACGTTGACATCAGCAAACCGTTCGCCATACACATGGTCTGCGGTTGTGAGTCCAGTTGGTTGTACTGCCAAATTCTCTAAAACGACATTGGAGGCGACTTATGGTAGAGAAATGAACATTCAATTCTCTGGCAATAGCTCTGGTGGACATTCCTGCCAATTGCATGCTCCCTCAAAACTTGAGACATCTGTGGCATTGTGTTGCGTGACAAAACTGCACATTTTAAAGTGGCCTTTTATTGTCCCCAGCACAAGGTGCACCTGTGTAATGATCATGCTGTTTAATCAGCTTCTTGATATGCCACACCTGTCAGGTGGATGGATTATCTTGGCAAAGGAGAAATGCTCACTAACAGGGATGTAAACAAATTTGTGCACAACATTTGAGAGAAATAAACTCTTTGTGCATATGGACAATTTCGGGGATCTTTTATTTCAGCTCATGAAACATGAGACCAACACTTTACATGTTGCGTTGATATTTTTGTTCAGTATAGTGACACCTTTGTGGTCATTGTGGTCCTTGAAATCTAATGGTTTTATCACAGAGAAATTACATGTTGATGATGCATACATATGTAGGATCTTATTTGACCAGTTTCTCACGGCAGGAAAATAATCTTGCAGCAACATTTATAATTAATGGACATTTTTGCAGGGGTTGATATTTTGATTTAGGGAAAATCGAGTCTGACATTTTTAAGAAGAAATTACAAACTTTTTAGGAGCCTTTTTAAACCTTGAATACACTACAAGTTTGCATTTCCTGCTGTACAGGACATTTCTTGCAACAGGGTGATCAAATTAAGATCCTACATCTGCATCTGTATTTTCTCTAATTTTCTCTAGGGGTCAGTTTGAGGAGATGTGTGCTGACGTTCTGGCCAGAGTGGAGGCACCACTGCACAACCTGATGGAGCAAGCCAGTCAGTTTCGTAGGTTTGCATATAGCTTGCTTGAATCTCAGAACAGAATGTATCTTTGTGTATAATATTGAACATTATCTGTGTAGGGATTGAGTATTGTCTTTATAGCATTGAGTTATGTCAGTGACTGTCAGTTCTGATTGGTGCCTTCCTTCCTGGTTCCTGTCCAATCAGAGCTTAAGGAGGAGGACATCTATGCGGTGGAAATAGTGGGCGGGGCCTCCCGTATCCCGTCTGTCAAAGAGAGGATCAGCAAATTCTTTGGGAAGGAGCTGAGCACCACCCTGAATGCTGATGAGGCTGTGGCCAGAGGATGTGCCCTGCAGGTCTGATGATCGCTCTCTGTTTCCCCCCTTGAAATGGCCTTTGCACATCCAGGATTTGCTTGCACAGCAAATTAGAAAAGAAAAGTTAGCCTCCAAACGATACTATTATATGTGCATTTTTGAGTAGTAATGATCGTGATTCCAACATTTATAGATATAATTCTTACCAGTAGGACCTAATTCATTTTTGTTGATTTCTACTGGAGTATGGTGATGGAATAATGGTTTGCATCCCTGCTAAGAATATCCCCCGTCTGCCTCCTCAGTGTGCAATCCTGTCCCCTGCATTCAAAGTGCGTGAGTTCTCCATCACAGATGTAGTTGCTTACCCCATCTCTCTGAAATGGAACTCTGCTGCAGAGGAAGGTTTGAGGTAAACTACAATACATATCCTGGTTTCTAATCACCTTGATTTATTTTGTTTGTGGGATAGCTTCATTGTAGTTATTTTAGTGCTAACTAGACGGTTATGCGTGTTGTCCATTGTAGCGACTGCGAGGTATTCCCAAAGAACCATGCTGCACCGTTCTCCAAAGTGTTGACTTTTTACCGGAGGGAGCCTTTCTCTCTGGAAGCCTACTACAACACCCCCAAAGAGCTGCCGTACCCCGACCCCACCATAGGTATGGACACTGCATTGAATCCACTATGAACCACGCACCTGTGGGTCCTGTTCTCTCTCTGCAAACAGTGTCTTCTATAGAAACATAGTCAGTCATGCATCCTAGCAGCAATGGGCTGTGGACTACAGTTTGCAATATGAAACTTATCATTGACTTGCCCATTTTGATTTTTGTATTTAAAAAAATTATAATTGTTTTTGTCAAGTGTCTGTAATGCAAGTTTCCCCCTAAGGGGACAATGAAGTATAGCCCAGTTTGTCATCAGTATTTCCTGTGAAATGTAAATTTCTGTGTGCCATTACCACCTTATTTCCTGTGTCCTCTCCTCCAGGTCAGTTTGTGATCCAGAAGGTGGTACCCCAGGCGTCTGGGGAGAGCTCTAAGGTCAAGGTGAAGGTGAGGGTCAACATCCACGGCATCTTCAGCGTCTCCTCAGCCTCGCTGGTGGAGGTCCAGAAGACCGAGGAGGGAGAGGAGCCCATGGACACAGAACAGCAGGCAACACCCGAGAAGGAGGAAGAGGTGATTATTAACAATCATATTCATTCAAATTTTATGTAGGATTTTTTTACCAAAGTGTCTTATTCAGTATTCACTACACAGACAATTACAGTTAACTTTGCACATCAGAGTCCATTGAAAGATAGGTCTACAAATGTGCTATTAAACCATACAATCCTGAGGAAGAAGGGCAGTTAGGTACAGTACTATATTGTGATAACGCTGCTATCTGGAAGTATTCAGACCCCTTCCCTTTTCCACATATTGTTACATTACAGCCTTATTCTAAAATTGATTAAATTATGTGTTTTTTTCTCAGCAATCTACACACAATAACCCATAATGACAAAGTGAAAACAGGTTTTTAGAATTTTTTGCAAATGTATTAATTATAAAAAAACATACCTTATTTACGTAAGTATTCAGACCCTTTGCTATGAGACTCGAAATTGAGCGCCGGTGCATCCTGTTTCAATTGATCATCCTTGATGTTTCTACAACTTGATTGGAGTCCACCTGTGGTAAATTCAATTGATTGGACATGATTTGGAAAGGCACACACCTGTCTATATAAGGTCCCACAGATGACAGTGCATGTCAGAGCAAAAACCAAGCCATGAGGTCGAAGGAATTGTCCGTAGAGCTCCGAGACAGGATTGTGTCGAGGCACAGATCTGGGGAAGGGTACACAAACATTTCTGCAGCTTTGAAGGTCCCTAAGAACACAGTGGCCTCCATCATTCTTAAATGGAAGAACCACCAAGACTCTTCCTAGAGCTGGCCACCCGGCCAAACTGAGCAATCGTGGAAGAAGGGTCTTGGTCAGGGAGGTGACCATGAACCCAATTGTCACTCTGACAGAGCTCCAGAGTTCCTCTGTGGAGATGGGAGAACCTTCCAGAAGGACAACCATCTCTGCAGCACTCCACCAATCAGGCCTTTATGGTAGAGTGGCCAGACGGAAACCACTCCTCAGTAAAAGGCACATGACAGCCCGCTTGGAATTTGCCAAAAGGCACCTAAAGGACTCGGACCATGAGAAACAAGATTCTCTGGTGTGATAAAACCAAGATTGAACTCTTTGGCCTGAATGTCAAGCGTCAAGTCTGGAGGAAACCTGGCACCATCCCTGCTCCAGAGTGCTCAGGACTTCAGGACAACGACCCTAAGCACACAGCCAAGACGACGCAGGAGTGGCTTCGGGACAAGTCTCTGAATGTCCTTGAGTGGCCCAGCCAGAGTCCGGACTTGAACCCGATCGAACATCTCTGGAGATACCTGAAAATAGCTGTGCAGCAACGCTCCCCATCCAACCTGACAAAGCTTAAGGCTCTGCAGAGAAGAATGGGAGAAACTCCCCAAAAACAGGTGTGCCAAGCTTGTAGCGTCATACCCAAGAAGACTCAAGGCTGTAATCGCTGCCAAAGGTGCTTCAACAAAGTACTGAGTAAAGGGTCTGAATACTTATGTAAATGTGATGTTTCAGTTGTTTATTTTTAATAAATGTGCAACAATTTCTAAAAACCTGTTTTTGCTTTGGCATTATGGGGTATTGTTTGTAGATTGATGGTGGGGGGGGAAACAATTTAATCCATTTTAGAAAAAGGCTGTAACGTAACAAAATGTGGAAAAAGTAAAGGGGTCTGAATAGTTTCCGCCTGCGTTGTGTGTCTCTCCTATCATTGGCCAGAGATGTGGTGTTAATGAAATGCCCTGCCCTCTCTGCAGGGCAAAATGCAGACTGACCAGGATGAGACGAAGGCCCAAGGAGATGGACAGAACGAGGCAGAAGAGGAGAAGAAGACGTCAGAGAATGAGGAGATGGAGGTAACAGTGAATATTCCGTCTATGTTGTGACACATTTGACATCTGTGATCATGACGTTTATGGTAACATTCTGCATTCTGCACTTTCTGTCCTGGAGGACTGCAGTTTGAACAGATTTAGACAAAAGCAAGCAGCCTGGACCCAGATCTGTTTGTGTTGTCTTGCCAACGACCAGCTGACCAGACAGAACAAACTCATCTAGGAGAAGGCTGAAAAACGCTTACCAGGAGTGAAGAGCACTACTTTATGGATATTTAGTCTTAATGATGCTGTTTCCCTCTCGTCTCCCCCCAGACCTCCACAGAAGAGAGTAAGACAGAGAAGAAGTCTGACCAGCCTCCCCAGGCCAAGAAGCCCAAAGTCAAGACAAAAGTCCTGGAGCTTCCCATCGAGAACAGCCCCCAGTGGGAGCTGGCCATCGACATGCTCAACCTCTTTGTAGAAAATGAGGTAATTCAATCTAACATCTATGGATTGTTTTGTTCGGTTGTTGCTATCCTCTCTGTATCTTTGGTGTCTTTATCTCTCTGTCGTTCCGTATTGTATTCATCCGGCTGCTTCTATATACAGTGGGGGGAAAAAGTATTTAGTCAGCCACCAATTGCGCAAGTTCTCCCACTTAAAAAGATGAGAGAGGCCTGTAATTTTCATCATAGGTACACGTCAACTATGACAGACAAATTGAGGGAAAAAAAATCCAGAAAATCACATTGTAGGATTTTTAATGAATTGATTTGCAAATTATGGTGGAAAATAAGTATTTGGTCACCTACAAACAAGCAAGATTTCTGGCTCTCACAGACCTGTAACTTCTTCTTTAAGAGGCTCCTCTGTCCTCCACTCGTTACCTGTATTAATGGCACCTGTTTGAACTTGTTAGCAGTATAAAAGACACCTGAACCACACGGGGGGACCTAGTGAATGACCTGCAGAGAGCTGGGACCAAAGTAACAAAGCCTACCATCAGTAACACACTACGCCGCCAGGGACTCAAATCCTGCAGTGCCAGACGTGTCCCCCTGCTTAAGCCAGTACATGTCCAGGCCTGTCTGAAGTTTGCTAGAGTGCATTTAGATGATCCAGAAGAGGATTGGGAGAATGTCATATGGTCAGATGAAACCAAAATATAACTTTTTGGTAAAAACTCAACTCGTCGTGTTTGGAGGACAAAGAATGCTGAGTTGCATCCAAAGAACACCATACCTACTGTGAAGCATGGGGGTGGAAACATCATGCTTTGGGGCTGTTTTTCTGCAAAGGGACCAGGACGACTGATCCGTGTAATGGAAAGAATGAATGGGGCCATGTATCGTGAGATTTTGAGTGAAAACCTCCTTCCATCAGCAAGGGCATTGAAGATGAAACGTGGCTGGGTCTTTCAGCATGACAATGATCCCAAACACACCGCCCAGGCAACGAAGGAGTGGCTTCGTAAGAAGCATTTCAAGGTCCTGGAGTGGCCTAGCCAGTCTCCAGATCTCAACCCCATAGAAAATCTTTGGAGGGAGTTGAAAGTCTGTTGCCCAGCGACAGCCCCAAAACATCACTGCTCTAGAGGAGATCTGCATGGAGGAATGGGCCAAAATACCAGCAACAGTGTGTGAAAACCTTGTGAAGACTTACAGAAAACGTTTGACCTGTGTCATTGCCAACAAAGGGTATATAACAAAGTATTGAGAAACTTTTGTTATTGACCAAATACTTATTTTCCACCATAATTTGCAAATAAATTCATTAAAAATCCTACAATGTGATTTTCTGGATTTTTTTTTCTCATTTTGTCTGTCATAGTTGACGTGTACCTATGATGAAAATTACAGGCCTCTCTCATCTTTTTAAGTGGCAGAACTTGCACAATTGGTGGCTGACTAAATACTTTTTTTCCCCCACTGTACTTGTCTTTTACATGTTTCTCTCTGTTTTGAGTAGTGCTTAAAGAGTGTTCTGTGGTAACTTGAAGTTGATGATTGATTGTTTCCACAGGGTAAAATGATCATGCAGGACAAGCTGGAGAAGGAGAGGAACGACGCTAAGAATTACGTGGAGGAGTACGTGTACGACATGAGGGACAAACTGCACGGCAGGCTGGAGAAATGTGTCAGTGAAGCTGTGAGTACTGTGGCTTTTTCTGTGGCTTTCTGTGGTAATTCCAACACTGTCTGAAATTAGCTGCCCATGAAACACAAACAGGTTTCTTAAAGGATACTTTGGGATTTTGGCAATGAAGCCCTGTAACTACTTCCCCTATTATCAGATGAACTCATTTGAAGTAGATAAACGGCTTCATTGAGACAATCCTGAAGTATCCCATTAACAACAATATATAAAGGACTTTATAATACAGTCTATCAGAATTGTATTCTCTGTGTAATATGTTTAAATGTCATCCATTGCGTACCGTATGTTAATGAGAGTATGTTGAATTTGATAGTTGTAGGATGGGATACCCTGACCTTAACTGTATGTTAATGCCTGTGTTTTGACTGTGTAGGATCGGGACGTCCTGTCGTTACAACTGGAGGACACAGAGAACTGGCTGTATGAAGATGGAGAGGACCAGCCTAAACAACAGTACATCGACAAACTGGTCCAGCTGAAGGTAAAGCACTGTCACTATGGGCCAGTTTCCCAGACCCCTGATTAAGCCTAGTCCCAGGTAATGCTTTCAGTTTTATACATTATAGTCGCGCCGGCATGCATTGGTTGAAGCTCAATGTTCACTTCAAATCTCCCTACCATCATATCTAAGCCAATATGACACCGATGTCGATGGCAATTCGCAAATCAACATGATTGGAGGTACACAACACACTAATGAGCCGTCCGGCCGTTAACAAGAACCACATACCGGATTTTTAACAGGGTCGTTAGCGATTGAGTTTTCAGAGTATTTTCTGTGCCTACCTAGCTCAAATTCTAGACGTCGGATTAAAATGAGACTATAGCGTCCGTAAAGTGACCATTGGACTTTAAAAATGTTGGATTGTCTAAGTTTGGTGCAACTGTTTTTATTTGTTATAGTTTATCGCTCTCACGTGCACATTTCAATCCGTTAACAACCAACGGTATGCTACCTTTTTGTAGCATTTCTGACAATGCTAACATAATTTTCAGCCGAATCTCAGAGTTCTAACGGGGTTGAGCAACTCTGTTGCTCGGCAACAACACAGCTGCTGCTGCCTGCAACAGGCTGCCAGTCATAAGAAGTGGCTGAGAACAAATCTAGGCTACTGTAGATAACCAGCTATATGGTGGTATTCAAGCTGAGGTTAATCAACAAATGCAAAACACATATTTTGATTAGCTAGGTAGCTAGTCAACGTTACCTAGTCTGTTTGAGAAGGTTTGAATGCTAAGCAACCGGCATACACATTGTTTGAAGTACAATAAACCAACATAGCTACTGTAGTAGGTCAAAGCTTTGGTAGAGCGGTGGTGGAGGAGGCATTGTGGTGCTCATGTGAATTACCTTTCTTTTTCGGCTTCAGACCAATGCCTACTTCTCACAGAAAATGTTAGTTTTTGTTTTTAATTGTCATTATGAGTTAAAGCCGTGTCAAGTCAATTGTGTTTCAGCAAATTTCTGTTACATTTCGACAGTCAGATGAAAGTAGCATCACCAAAGTTTGAAAAATGAGTTTCATTGCTGTGAAAATGCCTAGCTTGCTCCTCAGTCTAGTTCAACACAGTTGAAATGGGTTGGATTATCCAGTGTGTCTGTTGTCTCCAGAAACTGGGCCAGCCTATCCAGGAGAGGTACATGGAGTCGGAGGAAAGACCCAGAGCCTTCGATGAGATGGGGAAACAGATCCAGATGTACATGAAGATCGTTGAATCTTATAAAACCAAGGTACTGCTGCCCTTATAAAACCAAGGTACCGCTGCCCTTATAAAACCAAGGTACTGCTGCCCTTATAAAACCAAGGTACTGCTGCCCTTATAAAACCAAGGTACTGCTGCCCTTATAAAACCAAGGTACTGCTGCCCTTATAAACCAAGGTACGCTGCCCTTATAAACCCAAGGTACCGCTGCCCTTATAAAACCAAGGTACCGCTGCCCTTATAAAACCAAGGTACTGCTGCCCTTATAAAACCAAGGTACCGCTGCCCTTATAAAACCAAGGTACCGCTGCCCTTATAAAACCAAGGTACCGCTGCCCTTATAAAACCAAGGTACCGCTGCCCTTATAAAACCAAGGTACTGCTGCCCTTATAAAACCAAGGTACCGCTGCCCTTATAAAACCAAGGTACCGCTGCCCTTATAAAACCAAGGTACCGCTGCCCTTATAAAACCAAGGTACCGCTGCCCCAGAGGTCTAGAAGTAATGATACATTGGACTCATAATGCTCCACAGAACTACAACAATAATTCTAAGTCATTGCAAATGTCAGAAGTTGACAATAGTTTCATTTCATGAATGACCAAATTTGTAGTGTATTATGCTACTAAATGTATGTAATATTTATTATTATTATTATTACATTTTGCTACAATGGACTACATCTTTATTCTTTGCGTACCCCAGGAGGAGCAGGTATGTCTTTAGTAGAAGTGTAGTATAGTCATTAATTGTCTTACGTCAGACGGCTTCACTCCTACGTGACGTTCACCCCTCAGTGCAGTCAGAATCGACACACTATCTGACGTAAGACAATGAGAATACACTAGAGTAGTTATGTTAAAATGCAGTCCAGTTCGCCAACCTTATCATATTGTTACTTCCTATAGATGTCTTCATATTCCAGTGTAGCAAGTTTTAAAATATTCAAAGCAATTCTAAACCATTGCAAATATCAGAAGCCGTAAAGTCAGTTAGTAGCTGCATTTCAGAACCCGACCAAATATGTATGTAATATGTATGCTACAATAGACTACATCTTTATTCTTTGCTTTGGGCTTGCATTCAGTACATATTTGGTTTCAGGAGGCTGATATCAGAAGTTGTCTTTTAGTTGTATTTCAGGAATGACAAAATGTGTCTGGTATGTATTATGTACAGTGCATTCGGGAAGTATTCAGACCCCTTCACTTTTTCCACATTTTGTTACGTTACAGCATTATTCTAAAATGTATTAAATAAATAAAAAGTCCTCATCCATCTGTACACAATAACCCATAATGACAAAGCAAAAACAGATTTTGTTGAAATTTTTGCAAACGTATAAAAAATTTAAAAACAGATTAACTTATTTACATTAGTATTCAGACCCTTTGCTATGAGACTCGAAATTGAGCTCAGGTGCATCCTGTTTCCATTGATCATCCTTGATGTTTCTACAACTTGATTGGAGTTCATCTGTGGTAAATTCAATTGATTTGGAAATTATTTGGAAAGGCACACACCTGTCTATATAAGGTCCCACAGTTGACAGTGCATGTCAGAGCAAAAACCAAGCAATGAGGTCGAAGGAATTATCCGTAGCGCTCTGAGACAGGATTTTGTCGAGGCACATCTGGGGAAGGGTACCAAAAAATATCTGCAGCATTGAAGGTCCCCAAGAATACAGTGGCCTCCATCCTTCTTAAATGGAAGAAGTTTGGAACCACCAAGACTCTTCCTAGAGCTGACCGCCCAGCCAAACTGAGCAATCAGGGGAGAAGGGCCTTGGTCAGGGAGGTGACCAAGAACCTGATGATCACTCTGACAGAGCTCCAGAGTTTCTCTGGTCTGATGAAACCAAGATTGAACTCTTTGGCCTGAATACCAAGCGTCACGTCTGGAGGAAACCTGGCACCATCCCTACGGTGAAGCATGGTGGTGGTGGCAGCATCATGCTGTGGGGATGTTTTTCAGCGGCAGGGACTGGGAGACTAGTCAGGATCGAGGGAAAGATGAACAGAGCAAAGTACAGAGAGATCCTTGATGAAAACCTGCTCCAGAGCACTCAGGACCTCAGACTGGGGAGAAGGTTCACCTTCCAACTGGACAATGACCCTAAGCACACAGCCAACACAACGCAGGAGTGGCTTCGGGACAAGTCTCTGAATGTCTTTGTGACCCAGCCAGAGCACGGACTTGAACCCGATCTAACATTTCTGGAGAGACCTGAAAATAGCTGTGCAGCGACGCTCCCCATCCAACCTGACAGAGCTTGAGAGGATCTGCAGATAAGAATGGGAGAAACTCCCCAAATACAGGTGTGCCAAGCTTGTAGCGTCATACCCAAGAAGACTTGAGGCTGTAATCACTGCCAAAGGTGCTTCAACAAAGTACTGAGTAAAGGGTCTGAATAATTATGTTTATGTCATATTTCCTTTTTTATTTATTTTTTACATTTGCAAAAATGTCTAAACCTGTTTTTGTTTTGTCATTATGGGGTTTTGTGTGTAGATTGATGAGGGGAAAAACAACTGTCATCCATTTTAGAATAAGGCTGTAAAAGTCACTGTATGTTAGACGGTTTGTTTGCTTGTCTTTCCATCCCCCAGGAGGAGCAGTATGACCATCTGGACCAGGAAGATATCAACAAGGTGGATAAGATGGTGAATGAAGCCATGATCTGGCTGAACAGCAAGATGAACCAACAGAGTAAACTGAGCTTGACTGTGGAGCCTGCGGTTAGAGTCCGAGAGATACAGGACAAGACTAAGGTGAGACTAACTACAGTACTGCTAACTAACTACAGTACTGCTAACTAACTACAGGACTGCTAACTAACTACAGTACTGCTAACTAACTACAGTACTGCTAACTAACTACAGTACTGCTAACTAACTACAGGACTGCTAACTAACTATAGGACTGCTAACTAACTATAGGACTGCTAACTAACTATAGGACTGCTAACTAACTATAGTACTGCTAACTAACTATAGTACTGCTAACTAACTACAGGACTGCTAACTAACTACAGGACTGCTAACTAACTATAGGACTGCTAACTAACTATAGGACTGCTAACTAACTACAGTACTGCTAACTAACTACAGGACTGCTAACTAACTATAGTACTGCTAACTAACTACAGGACTGCTAACTAACTATAGGACTGCTAACTACTCTACTGCTAACTACCTACAGTACTGATAACCATATTCCTCTACTGCTAACTACAGTACTGTTAACTACTCTACTGCTAACTAACTACAGTACTGATAACTAACTATAGGACTGTTTACTAACTACTCTAGTGCTAACCAAATTCCTCCACTACTAACTACAGTACTGCCAACTAACTACAGTACTGCCAACTAACTACAGTACTGATAACTTACTACTCAACTACTAACTACAGTACTGATAACTACTCTACTGCTAACAAACTACAGTACTGCTAACCAAATTCCTCCACTACTAACTACAGTACTGCCAACTAACTACAGTACTGCCAACTAATTACGGTACTGCCAACTAACTACAGTACTGATAACTTACTACTCTACTACTAACTACAGTACTGATAACTACAGTACTGCTAACTACTCTACTGCTAACAAACCACAGTACTGCTAACCAAATTCCTCTAATACTAACTACTTTGCTACTAACTACAGTACTGCCAACTAACTACTCGACTACTACCTAACTACTAATACTGTTAGTCAGAGAGATACAGGGTAAAGCTAAGTTTAGAATAGCTACAGTACTAACTGTTAGTCTGCTATCAGGGTCAGAGCGATGTTTGATGCTTATGAATTCAACATTTGTGTAAATGTTACCCAACCAAGCTAGTTTACTGTGAATATTGCCTTTTGGTCATGAATATCATTCAACTACTGTAAAATCCATGCCAGCATTCTGCTTATCCAACTTAACATTACTTGCACATGGTCCCATGATATGCTTGCACAGTTATTCGTAACTTTCACTCTTCCCACTATTTCATCTCAATAGGAGCTGTACTCTGCCTGCAACCCCATCGTGACCAAGCCCAAGCCCAAGGTGGAGCTGCCTAAGGACGACAAGGCAGGGGAGCAGAATGGACCAGTCAACGGTCATGAGAAAGCCCCAGCAGAGGGCACCGAGGAGGGGCCTGCCGACAGCACAGGCAACCCCCCCCTCCACGGAACCTAGACCTGACATGGACCTTGACTAAGCAGACAGACAGGCAGCAACCAGTGTCACCTCTCCCAGGGGCTGTGTCTTCATCTGGAAATAGTGTCTCCTTCCATGTTTCCTTGTTGCCTTCCCCATTCAGATCTGATAGGACTGGATAGATGAGTTCAACTAAAGCATTATGGCAAATAAACAAAACTCTACCTGCATGGTCCACCAAAAGGCATGCTGGATATATTAACTACAGTACTGTAGCACATTGCTCATGTTTTATCTATCTTGTCAGATCTGTTGAGATAAGGAGTGAATCAACCTAGGCAGCAAGGGAAGGAGGCAAGGTGATGGATTGAGACGCAGCCCAGAGCTACTAGTGAAGTGTCAATAACTATTTGGCTTCGTCTGAAATGGCACCCTATTCACTATATAGTGCACTACGTTTGACCAAAGCCCATATGTCGCTGGTCAAAAGTAGTGCGCTATATAGGGAATAGGGTGCCATTTCAAATGCAACCATTCACTCCACTCCACTCCACATGTCAATGCAGGCGGCATACTGTAATTTCGGCACATTTACCCCAGTACCTGATGATGATGATGATGGTGTATTTCTGCTGCCTATAGCATGCCCATTCTTTTATTGCTAAAATTGAAAGAAGCCAACTGCAATAAGCCTGTTGTTTGACGATGAGCGCTGTATGATGGTATTTATTTCTGTTGTGTGCTCTCTATAACTGTTCCGGGTCTTTGTCACAATTTGGTTTTAATAAAGTTATTGAAAATCGCTTCACGCAGCCGTTATTTGAGCATTTTAGAGGAATGCAGTTTCGTTCTCAGGCTATATTTTGACTAGCTCAAAGGCCGGCAGATAGCGATATTGAAACGACTCAATATCGCCATCTACCGGCCTTTGGGCTATATTTTGACTGTATGGCTATCTAGAGAAATGTGTGTTTTCCCCCCTTGATTTCTTAAACGTCACCAATGCATAAATGCAATGAGAAAGGTCCCACTCATCTGTCAAATAACTGGCCTGCAGTTATTCAGGATAATACGCTACTTTAATGATAAGCAATTTTACTACTGTAGGGCGTAAGGTAGCTTAGTGAGTAAAAGCGTTGTGCCAGTAACCGAAAGGTCGCTGGTTCTAATCCCCGAGCCGACTAGGGTGTCGACATCTGTCGATGTGCCCTTAAGCAAGGCACTTAACCCTAATTGCTCCTGTAAGTCGCTCTGGATAAGAGCGTCTGCTAAATGACTAATTTTTTTTTTAATGATCTACCACCCGGTTACTCAACCCTGCACCTTAGAGGCTGCTGCCCTATATACATAGACATGGAATCACTGGTCACTTTAATAATGTTTACATACTGCTCATATGTTTCTACTGTATTTTAGTCTATGCCACTCCGACATTGCTCATCCAAATATTTATATATTTCTTAATTCCATTATTTTACTTTTAGATGTGTGTGTATTGTTAGATACTACTGCACTGTTGGAGCTAGGAACACAAGCATTTCGCTACACCCGCAATAACATCTGCTAAATATGTGTATGTGACCAATAAAATAGTGTTTTCATTTTATTTGAAAAGGCCTGCCTATTCATCCCGCTCAACCTTCCGCGTTCCTCAGAATCTGTAATCAAGGCGTTCAGCTAGAACTCCGCCCGCCTCTGCCTCAGTCACATGACAGAGGTTCCTGCTTTCTCAAAAAAAAGTAGGATTTTAAAGGGAAGAGGCGGATGCGGTAAGTTGATTAATGCGTTTGTTTTTCATTTACTTTCTGCACAAAGTAAGATGGTAGGACAAACGTCACCAGCGACCTCATTTGGATATGCACGATACCGTTTTCAAATATAGTGGATTCAACATTTGCATTTAATTCAAAGCGCTGCATTGTAGTATAGTTTGATTTGGTCTACTTCCCCCCCTTAATTCGGATAGGGATACTTTAGTACGTCTTCCGGCTGCAAGTGCTCACATTTTATGGGTCTAAAGTCTGCTTTAGGTTGAGAACAAATATTGCTTCAAGATCTGTTCCATCTGATACAATAAACAGCTGTATTCACCATCCAAGTTTGGCTGTGGTTTTAAAGCTTTTAATTTAGGACCATGAAGCTGATCATCCTGAATGATTATGACCAAGTTGGTGAGTGGGCTGCCAAATACATCAGGAATAAAATCCTTCGCTTCAACCCTGGACCAGACAGATTCTTCATTCTAGGACTCCCCACAGGTAAGCAATCTGTTGATTCTACAGGGCACGCCCTCCTTTCCATTGTACAGGCAATATTGCAATCATAATAATCATATATATTTTTTTAATGTTAAATGTGTCTGTATAAAGACATCAACATGTATTTTTTGACGTGTAAAACTACAGGTATTTTGATGAAAATGTCAATAATTTCTCCCCAATGTACACCCCAGGAGGTACCCCTCTGGGATGCTATAAGAAGCTGATTGAGTTTTATAAGAAAGGAGAGATCTCTTTCAAGTATGTCAAAACGTTCAACATGGACGAGTATGTGGGTATGCGTCACCTTTACAATACTTCTCTATTTAACCTTCTATTTCTACACCAAACATACAGTAGCAACATTCTCACAGCACGAGAAGCTATACAAAACTGTGATCACTGCTTTTAAAATCATGCAGGTATTCCTAGGAATCACCCAGAGAGCTACCATTCCTTCATGTGGAATAATCTCTTCAAGCACATTGACATCAAATCGGAGAACACCCATATTCTGGATGGTAACGCTGCCAACCTTGTAGAGGAGTGTGATTCCTTTGAGGAGAAGATCAAAGCTGCTGGAGGAATCGACCTCTTTGTTGGAGGTAGGTAGGGAGGATAATGATAGGATGGAATTAAGTATATTGATTCTATTTACTCTATTATACAGTGCATTCGGAAAGTATTCAGACCCCTTGACTTTTTCCAAATTGTGTTACTTTACAGCCTTATTCTAAAATTGATTAGATACTTTTTTTCCTCCTTCAATCTACCTACAATACCCCATAATGACAAAACAAAAACAGGTTTTCAGAAATGTTTGCAAATGTGTATATATATATATTTAAAAAAACGGAAATACCTTATTTACAAACAGTACCAGTCAAAAGTTTGGACACACCTACTAATTCCAGGGTTTTTCTTTATTTTTACTATTTTCTACATTGTAGAATAATAGTGAAGACATCAAAACTATGAAATAACACATATGGAATCATGTAGTAACCAAAAAAGTGTTAAACAAATCAAAATATATTTTACATTTGAGATTCTTCAAAGTAGCCACCCTTTGCCTTGATGACAGCTTTGCACACTCTTGGCATTCTCTCAACCAGCTTCATGAGGATGCGTGCTCAGCCCCCTCCTGTACTCCCTGTTCACCCATGACTGCGTGGCCAAGCACGCCTCCAACTCAATCATCAAGTTTGCAGACGACACAACAGTAGTAGGCTTGATTACCAACAATGACGAGACCGCCTACAGGGAGGAGGTGAGGGCTCTGGGAGTGTGGTGCCAGGAAAATAACCTCTCACTCAACGTCAACAAAACAAAGGAGATGATCGTGGACTTCAGGAAACAGCAGAGGGTGCACCCCCCTATCCACATCGACGGGACCGCAGTGGAGAAGGTGGAAAGCTTCAAGTTCCTTGGTGTACACATCACTGACAAACTGAAATGGGCCACCCACGCAGACAGTGTGGTGAAGAAGGCGCAACAGAGCCTCTTCAACCTCAGGAGGCTGAAGAAATTTGGCCTGGCACCTAAAACCCTCACAAACTTTTACAGATGCACAATTGAGAGCATCCTGTCGGGCTGTATCACCGCCTGGTACGGCGACTGTTAAATAGCCATCACTAGCATATTAGAGGCTGCTGCTGCCTATTGAAATCACTGGCCACTTTAAGAAATGGAACACTAGTCACTTTAATAATAAAAAATAAAAAATAATAATGTTTACATATCTTGCACTACTCATCTCATATGTATATACTGTATTATATTATATAATATTCTACTGTATCTTAGTCCATGCCGCTCTGTTATTGCTTGTCCATATATGTATATATTCTTAAATTCCATTCCTTACTAGATTTGTGTGTATTGGGTATATGTTGTGAAATTGTTAGATATTACTTGTTAGATATTACTGCTAGAGGCACAAGCATTTCGCTACGCCCACAATAACATCTGCTAAACACGTGTATGTGACAAATAAGATTTGATTTGATTTGAGGTAGTCAACTGGAATGCATTTCAATTAACAGGTGTGCCTTCTTCAAAGGCAATTTGTGGAATTTCTTTCCTTCTTAATGCGTTTGAGCCAATCAGTTGTGTTGTGACAAGGTAAGGATGGTATACAGAAGATAGCCCTATTTGGTAAAAGACCAAGTCCATATTATGGCAAGAACAGCTCAAATAAGCAAAGAGAAATGACAGTCCCATCATTGCTTTAAGACATGAAGGTCAGTCAATCTGGAAAATGTCAAGAACTTTGAACGTTTCTTCAAGTGCAGTCGCAAAAACCATCAAGCACTATGATGAAACTGGCTCTCATGAGGACCGCCACAGGAAAGGAAGACCCAGAGTTACCTCTGCTGCAAAGGATAAGTTCATTAGAGTTAACTGCACCTCAGATTGCAGCCCAAATAAATGCTTCACAGAGTTCAAGTAACAGACACATCTCAACATCAACTATTCAGAGGAGACTGCGTGAATCAGGCCTTCATGGTCGAATTGCTGCAAAGAAACCACTACTAAAGGACACCAATAAAAAGAAGAGACTTGCTTGGGCCAAGAAACATGAGCAATGGACATTAGACCGGTATAAATCTGTCCTTTAGTCTGATGAGTCCACATTTGAGATTTTTGGTTCCAACCGCCGTGTCTTTGAGAGACGCAGAGAAGGTGAACGGATGATCTCCGCATGTGTGGTTCCCACAGTGAAGCATGGAGGAGATGTGATGGTGTGCGGGTGCTTTGCTGGTGACACCGTCAGTGATTTATTTAGAATTCAAGGCCCACTTAACCAGCATGGCTACCACAGCATTCTGCAGTGATACGCCATCCCATCTGGTTTGGGCTTAGTGGGACTATCATTTCTTTTTCAACAGGACAATGACCCAACACACCTCCAGGCTGTGTAAGGGCTATTTTACCAAGAAGGAGAGTGATGGAGTGCTGCATCAGATGACCTGGCCTCCATAATCCCCCGACCTCAACCAAATTGAGATGGTTTGGGATGAGTCGGACGGCAGAGTGAAGGAAAAGCAGCCAACAAGTGCTCAGCATGTGTGGGAACTCCTTCAAGACTGTTGGAAAAGCATTCCAGGTGAAGCTGGTTGAGAGAATGCCAAGAGTGTGCAAAGCTGTCATCAAGGTAAAGGGTGGCTATTTGAAGAATCTCAAATATAAAATATATTTTGATTTGTTTAACACTTTTTTTGGTTACTACATGATTCCATATGTGTTATTTCATGGTTTTGATGTCTTCATTATTATTCTACATTGTAGAAAATAGTAAAAATATAGAAAAACCCTTGAATGAGTAGGTGTTCTAAAACTTTTCACCGGTAGTGTATGTGTGTAGATTGATGAGGGGAAAAAAAACGATTTAATCCATTTTAGAATAAGGCTGTAACGTAACAAAATGTGGAAATAGTCAATGACCTGTATTCTAACACTGCTGTGGCAATTTACGTCTTTGTTGGAGGTAGGGAGGATACCAGTGATGGTGCCAAATGACACAATAGCAACTGCTCAATCAAACAGGCAGACACACCCATGCTAGATTTATATTTCAAGTTTATAGTCTTGTTCTAACAGATATGTCATTGTTACAACAGATAAGATAATGTTTTATATTGTGGGGCACACACTTTTTCAATGACATCATTGAATAAGATGATAAACACAACAAGCACAAACCAGTTCAGAAAACAACAGACTTTGAAACATCAATACCAAAATCCAACAAATGTAACCCACCCTGTCTGTTAGGTATTGGACCGGATGGCCACATTGCCTTCAACGAGCCAGGCTCCAGCCTGTTGTCCAGGACCAGAGTGAAGACCCTGGCTCAGGACACCATCCTGGCCAACGCACGCTTCTTTGACGGAGATCTGTCTAAAGTACCCACCATGGCTCTGACTGTGGGAGTGGCCACTGTCATGGACGCCAGAGAGGTTAGAGCTGATTTCAAGATGTCTGTCTCTGCCTTATGGTTCAGGTCTGTCTTCTCTTGGAACGTATTTTGCATGGACAACTGGCCCCCTTAAAGCGCCTATACTTATTAAATGATGATATAATGAGGCTGTTACACATAGCCTTATGATTTCCCCCAAATCCTTTTACTGCTGCTTTGTTGTAATACCAGTCAAAACAATGTAAATCTGTCGATGTGCCCTTAAGCAAGGCACTTAACCATAATTGCTCATGTAAGTCGCTCTGGATAAGAGCGTCTGCTAAATGACTAAAAAAATAAAAATAAAATGTAATGACAGTCTATAATCATGTAATAACAGTTTATAACCATGTAATACCAGTCTATAACATGTAATACCAGTCTATAACATGTAATGACAGTTTATAGGATGGTAATAACACGTTATCTCCTTAATGTCTCCAGGTCATGATTCTCATCACTGGAGCACACAAAGCGTTTGCCCTGTACAAGGCCATAGAGGAAGGGGTGAACCACATGTGGACGGTTGTCAGCCTTTCAGCAGCACCCCCAGACTGTGTTTGTGTGTGACGAGGACGCTACCCTGGAACTGAGGGTTAAAACTGTCAAGTACTTCCAAGGTGAGGGTCTACTTACTTACTAAAGGACTTGGTCCTCCAAGTTCATTCCATGATTGTGCTGCTCGCATGGCTTATGAACTAGTGCTTCAGTTTCCAAATTCAGTGTGTTTTGTTTTTATTATTGGCCTGGGAGGGATAAAGTATTTTCTTCAATAAAAAACATAATTGTGAATAAAGTGGAAATCTAACTCACTTGACCTATTGTTATTTCTCCTTGACAGGGATGATGCATGTGCACAACAAGTTGGTGGATCCACTGCCTCCCAAGTAAGATGAGGGAGTTGCAAAAACATCTGGAAACCTGCAATAACCAGGATAACTGATGCCGGATCCTCCTGGATATGACAGCGGCCAAAGGGTGGATGATCAATTGTGTGTGTTGTACTGTGGTTTAAGTCAAGTTACATTTTATGTAACATAATAGTAAGCCTAATTGTAGTAGGCTACATTAAGCACATTGATTATGTAATACATTTATCTTAGATAGAACAGGTTTCTTAGCTACATTGTTAAATTTGATACAAACTTGTTTTTGAATGTATTTCAATGAGAGTTATTGTAATAAAACGACTTTGAGAATGAATGTGTATTTGTTATATATTCGTTACATTGTAGCTCGGTGCGTAACGGGTAGCGTTTTGATTTCCTGACGGTTGGACTGGGTCACATGACAGAGCAAGGGGAGGAACAACACACCAGACTTGGAAGGAAGAGGAGGTGGCGGGGCTGTTTCAAGTGGTAGCGTATCAATATTATATTCAGCTCACAGTTTGCCAAACAAGTGATCATTTTCAAACACTCAACGTCCATCCAGGATGGCCGAGCAAATCAGCAACGTTAGATATCAGGAGGTAAGTAAAAAAAAAAAAAAAAAAAAAAGACAACCAATAAAATTAGCTAACGGCTAAGCTAAACTAGCCAGCATTGGAAAACGAAACGTCGTTATGATTTCGGGCCCAGTTTAGCTAACGTAATAGCTCATTATGTCTTCAAAATTTAACTTGACAGTTACGGTAACACGTTAACTTGCTACCTCGTTTATGATGGTTAAGTGTAGCTAGCTAGTGTAACTGATTTAGCTAACTAACTACAAGGGACGGGCCAAAGGCCCATTTGTTATGACCACCCAACTGTTGACATGTCCCACCCACATAGGCCGTTGAAAAGCGAATCCGTGGAATATGTTGTTGCAGCTAACATAAACTAGATACTGGTAGTTATTTAGTTAACTAAATACCTAGCTAGCTACCATAATCATAATGATATTGAAATCTATCACGATTGCACAAGAACCCACTAGCGCTAACTAGTAGGCCTACATTCATTGATAGTTGTAGACAACCAATCTGAGACTAATGCCAGAGAGGTATACGGCAAAGCAGGATCAATTAGTTAGACAGCTAACTCACCTAAATATTCTGAAATAAGATTTTTTTCGAGAAAAGCTTGAAATGGGCATGGTCTAATTGATTCAACAACCGAAAACGCATCCAGTGCCTTCAGAAAGTATTCACACCCCTTTACTTTTTCAACATTTGGTTGTTACAAAGTGGGAATAAACATTTTTGTCAATGAAAAATACTCTACACAAAATACTCTGTCAAAGTGGAAGAAAAATTCTGACATTTGTAAAAAATAAAATAAATAAAAAGAATACACATCTTGATTAGATAAGTATTCAACCCCCTGAGTCAATACGTGTTAGAATCACTTTGGCAGTGATTACAGCTGTAACTCTTTCTGGGTAAGTCTCTAAGACCTTTCCACACCTGGATTGTACAATATTTGCCCATTATTAACATTCTTCAAGCTCTTTTCAAATTGGTTCTTGATCATCGCTAGACAGCTATTTTCAAGTCTTGACATACAGTGGGGAGAACAAGTATTTGATACACTGCCGATTTTTGCAGGTTTTCCTACTTACAAAGCATGTAGAGGTCTGTAATTTTTTATCATATGTACACTTCAACTGTGAGAGACGGAATCTAAAACAAAAATCCAGAAAATCACATTGTATGATTTTTAAGTAATTCATTTGCATTTTATTGCATGACATAATTGTTTGATCACCTACCAACCAGTAAGAATTCCGGCTCTCACAGACCTGTTAGTTTTTCTTTAAGAAGCCCTCCTGTTCTCCACTCATTACCTGTATTAACTGCACCTGTTTGAACTCATTACCTGTATAAAAGACACCTGTCCACACACTCAATCAAACAGACTCCAACCGCTCCACAATGGCCAAGACCAGAGAGCTGTGTAAGTATGTGGTCCTCTGTAGCTCAGCTGGTAGAGCACGGCGCTTGTAACGCCAAGGTAGTGGGTTCGATCCCCGGGACCACCCATACACAAAAATGTATGCACGCATGACTGTAAGTCGCTTTGGATAAAAGCGTCTGCTAAATGGCATATTATTATTATTATTACATCAGGGATAAAATTGTAGACCTGCACAAGGCTGGGATGGGCTACAGGACAATAGGCAAGCAGCTTGGTGAGAAGGCAACAACTGTTGGCGTAATTATTAGAAAATGGAAGAAGTTCAAGATGATGGTCAATCACCCTCGGTCTGGGGCTCCATGCAAGATCTCACCTCGTGGGGCATCAATGATCATGAGGAAGGTGAGGGATCAGCCCAGAACTACACGGCAGGACCTGGTCAATGACCTGAAGAGAGCTGGGAACCACAGTCTCAAAGAAAACCATTAGTAACACACTACGCCGTCATGGATTAAAATCCTGCAGCGCACGCAAGGTCCCCCTGCTCAAGCCAGTGCATGTTCAGGCCCGTCTGAAGTTTGCCAATGACCATCTGGATGATCCAGAGGAGGAATGGGAGAAGGTCATGTGGTCTGATGAGACAAAAATAGAGCTTTTTGGTCTAAACTCCAATCGCTGTGTTTGGAGGAAGAAGAAGGATGAGTACAACCCCAAGAACACCATCCCAACCGTGAAGCATGGAGGTGGAAACATCATTCTTTGGGGATGCTTTTCTGCAAAGGGGACAGGACGACTGCACCGTATTGAGGGGAGGATGGATGGGGCCATGTATCACGAGATCTTGGCCAACAACCTCCTTCCCTCAGTAAGAGCATTGAAGATGGGTCGTGGCTGGGTCTTCCAGCATGACAACGACCTGAAACACACAGCCAGGGCAACTAAGGAGTGGCTCCGTAAGAAGCATCTCAAGGTCCTGGAGTGGCCTAGCCAGTCTCCAGACCTGAACCCAATAGAAAATCTTTGGAGGGCGCTGAAAGTCCGTATTGCCCAGCGACAGCCCCGAAACCTGAAGGATCTGGAGAAGGTCTGTATGGAGTGGGCCAAAATCCCTTCTGCAGAGTGTGCAAACCTGACCAAGACCTACAGGAAACATATGATCTCTGTAATTGCAAACAAAGGTTTCTGTACCAAATGTTATGTTCTGCTTTTCTGATGTATCAAATAGTTATGTCATGCAATAAAATGCAAATGAATTACTTAAAAATCATACAATGTGATTTTCTGGATTTTTGTTTTAGATTCCGTCTCTCACAGTTGAAGTGTACCTATGATAAAAATTACAGACCTATACATGCTTTGTAAGTAGGAAAACCTGCAAAATCGGCAGTGTATCAAATACTTGTTCTCCCCACTGTAGATTTAAGTCAAAACTGTAAATAGGCCACTCCGTAACATTCCAAGTCGACATGTTAAGCAACTCCAGTGTATATTTGGCCATGTGTTTTAGGTTATTGTCCTGCTGAAAGGTGAATTTGTCTCCCAGGGTCTGTTGGAAAGCAGACTGAACCAGGTTTTCCTCTAGGATTTTGCTTGTGTTTAGCTCTATTCCGTTTCATTTTATCATTAAAAAAAACTCCCTAGTCCTTGCTGATGACAAGAATACTCATAACGAGATGCAGCCACCACCATGCTTGGAAATATGAAGAGTGGTACTCAGTGATGTGTTGTGTTGGATTTGCCCCAAACATGACGCTTTTATTCAGGACATAAAGTTCATTTCTTTGCCATTTTTCTTTTTCTTCAATTTTAGCCTTTAGTGCCTTGTTGCAAACAGGATGCCTGTTTTGGAATATTTCTTATTCTGTACAGGCTTCCTTCTTTTCACTCTGTCAATTAGGTAAGTATTGTAGAGTAACTACAATGTTGTTGATCCATCCTCAGTTTTCTCCTATCACAGCCATTAAACTCTGTAACTGTTTTAAAGTCACCATTGGCCTCATGGTGAAATCCCTGAGCGGTTTCCTTCCTCTCCAGCAACTGAGTTAGGAAGGACGCCTGTATCTTTGTAGTATACCCCTCAGGTATCAAAGGTTCCTGTCATGTCACTGATGGGGTGTTGCCAGTCAACTTGACTGACTACGAAATAGATGAATGGTTGCATTCATGCATTTTCTGGTATAAGCACAGAAGCAGCTAGCTAAATGACTCTCTCAGCATAGGCCACGGCCAGAATAGTGCAACAGCAGCGTCATCCCACTGACCGTGTGTTGCTCTGGCCCATTCCTCCAGCTGTTGAATGAGGAGGAGCCAGCAGTAGCCCAGCCCCCCCAGCAGGAAGCAGCTGTCCTGGATGCCCCTCCCCCCTACAGCAGCATCTCAGCTGCCAACGCAGGTAATTGGCCTCTGTCCGTCCATAGCACTACACACAGTAACTGGCAAAATATTGACTCATCTCATATGGGGGTCGAGGACGGTTTCAGATGCAAGTCAGGAATATAATATTTATAATATGGTTATACTAGTGCTCAGAAGAAAAGGCTACGGTGCAAAGCTGTGGTGTTGGGTGAGCTCTCAACCTTCACCTTGCTACTAGCCATCAGTGATGTGCTGTGTCACTCACGTTTTGTTTTCTGCACCTTTCCATTTCCCCTCCAGCGTTCTTTGACTCCAAGGAGGATGCAGGCAGGTTCCCCAACCCCCCGTCCTACAACGTGGCTACCACACTGCCCTCCTATGATGAAGCAGAGAGGACCAAAGCTGAGACTGGCGTGCCTCTGGTCCCTGGCAGGGTCGTGGTATGTGTGTCCTCCTTTCACAGCGATATTTATTAATTCATTCATTGTTCAGGTATTGATAACTCTCCAGAATCTCTTACACTAGTCTTTTTCATTGTGAGCTCCTACATCCTAAATAAACACTTTTGGACCATCATCATTGGAAGATGTCTGGAAATGTCTCACAATCAAAACATAAATGTCCTATTTTTTCTTTCAGGAGGATGACTTTGACGATGCTGACCAGCTGCGGATAGGGAATGATGGCATCTTCATGCTCACCTTCTTCAGTAAGTCTTCTCTCTGTTTCCTGTACAGTGTAGTGATTGTTATGGGTCTGTCTGCATCTCACGGGTACACTAAACTAAGCAACTGCATTGTGTGTCATAAGCCAGGGCCAGGGCCAGGGAGTAGGTTTGTGATATTAGAAAAGCTGTTGTATAATCTTCCACAAAGCATCATGGTCTATGTGTGGTGAACAGCAAGCATGTTAACTAATGTGCCACTTCTCATTGGTGGTCTATGATAGATTGATTGGTTGATTGATTGATTGTCCTCTCTTCTCTCCAGTGGCATTCCTGTTCAACTGGATTGGTTTCTTCCTGTCCTTCTGTCTGACTACTTCTGCTGCCGGCCGCTACGGAGCCATCTCTGGGTTTGGCCTGTCTCTCATCAAATGGGTTCTCATAGTCAGGGTAAGATCAACACACGACACCTCACTGTTCTTTACAACACTGGTCCTGGAGTGCTACGGGGAGTTCAGGCTTTTGTTCCAGCCCAGCCCTAAATTCTTTGGAATGTTACTGTGTGTACGACTGGTGCCCCTAATGTTATTCTACTGTCTTTTGAACGTTCCAGTTTTCCACCTACTTCCCTGGCTACTTTGATGGGCAGTACTGGCTGTGGTGGGTGTTCCTGGCTTTGGGTAAGTGGAGCTGAAGTCTGAGCTGTATTTTAATGAATTAATGTGTATGAAATGTGTGAAAGATCATCGTGGAATGGATGCTCTTGTCTTTTTGTTTTGACTCCAGGCTTCATGCTGTTCGTCAGAGGGTTTGTCAACTACTCCCGGGTTCGCAAAATGGCCGACCCCACTTACGCCACACTGCCCCGAACAAGAGTCCTGTTCATCTACTGAAGGTAAGGCCCTAATTCACACAGCATTCCTTAGTTACAGCAGAATAAGACCTTATCAAATCATAAGCTTGGTCCTTTATTAAGAAATACAAGTATTAGTACTGGTAATCTACCAAATCATATAGATTTTCTCCACTCACTAGTTTCCTTCCAATGTAGTCTGGTTCCATGTAAATATACCATAGACAAACGTGATCCATAGTAAAGCACCCGTCCTCCTACAGAGATACTGATCTCCACCGTAAACTTATCTCCTGTTTACTTTTCACACAGCTGGTTTTTGAATAAACAAACCGTCCCTGGATAAATAATCCTGGATGTTTGAAAAGCATCACACCGACAAAAAGCAACAAAACTACAAAAGTCTAAAACCAAACTACTCCGATTACCCATCACCACGTGGCCCATCACCACACGGCCCATCACCACGCGGCCCATCACCACGCGGCCCATCACCACGCGGCCGGATGGAAAAACCACACAACAAAATGTTGATGAAGACAACTCTTGTAACATTCAGGAAATAAATACATAATTTGTTTTATTTTATTTGAAAACTTAATTAATGGATAATGGTAGTATGTACTTATTAGTGGCGAATGAAAAGTGCTATTTTACATTTTCAGTCTGTAATGTATGGGTAATGCCTTATATAATTTGATGGCAGTGTATTAGCATGCATCAAGGGATCAGTCTTATTTCGCTAATATATTCAAAGCCCACAGGTGTAATGCATTATGATGCAGTCATAATGCACTATAAGCACTTGTAACACCTTTATGTTCATAGTAGTCACCAGCTCATAGTAATCATGAGATCAAGCAGTTGAGGATGGAAAAAAAAGTCACATGTGGCATTACAATTTATGGGTTCGTAATAAAACATTTAGACGTTTTATTCAGTAATAATGCACTATACCTGTTGGCTTCATGTGAAGTGTTAGCCTTATTTCTAGCCAGTAGAGGGCAGAGTTCTTAGCTAAATTTTGAGTCATCATGAATTATTCCTATAAGACAGAATCCTACCTTTATATGCGCACATACCTCAAACATAAAAGTATCGTATGTGCAAATCTGAAGGTAAAGATTTTGTCCAAAGTGTTTTTTTTGTCATACAGTTTTATTGTTTAGTGTAGAGAAATAACACATTAGGTATGGAAACAAACTATGATGGTATCAGAGAATGTAAGCAGGTGCACTTTTAGAAACATATTAATAAAACCCCAGGGAGTAACTCCCAATGGAAACGGACATATTATCCAATGCAATCAACTATACATGACCAAATGGTAGTACCTGTAGTTATTCAGTGAGTATAGAGCTTTCATAAGGGTGACATGGCAATTTATAACTTTACAAATTAGATTTAGTAAGAAGACAAGAAATTATACTCTACTTGTCGATTTTTCTCTTTAGGCAATTGTTGGCATATTGTTAACTGTAAATTATCTCAAACGTGCTCTAGTGGACCACCTGTATGCCAGCCAGTCTGTTTTAAACCAGCTGTTTAGATTTCTTGCTTAGCCCTTTATGTGGAATGGTACAGCACAGCTAAGATCCAAACCCAGTCCGAGACACACACAGCTCTGATCTGTAGTACAGCTAAGATCCAAACCCAGTCCGAGACACACACAGCTCTGATCTGTAGTACAGCTGGATCCTTGGGATTTTATTGTTATGAGATATTATGTTTTAAACTGTAAAAAGCTTCATGTCCTAATAAATGTCACTTTTAAAATTGAGATTGATCTCCATTCCAGGTTTTGTGTGCAGGCTTTGCCAGAGATTTGAGGCTTGTCGTAAAATATTGTGCAGCACCGACACCTTGTGGTTGAAAGACGCAATGACTCGACACCAACAGCTCCCATATGTTTTTTTAAAATGGTTTTCAATGTACATTATGTGATATCTTATCCCATCAGCTTTCTATAAGAATTGACTGGTGAAAGACACTAACCATGCATTTCCATATATAGCTACATAGCATTAGTGTTGTCATGATTCAATCTTTGATATTACATAATATTATATTGAAATATATGCCATTTAGCAGACACTTGCGTGCATTCAGTTTAAGTACGTATGGTCCCAGGAATCGAACCCACTATCCTGGCGTTGCAAGTGCCATGCTCTACCAACTCAGCTACAGAGGACCACAGTGAACAATAGTCATATCACATCAGCAAAGATATACATTCTAGAGTTCTAGCTAGCGGCATAAAGTAGAGTCTAGTTGTAGTGTGGAGTGGAATGTTTCATTTGGTCAAGTTTTAGCATGATTCTGCCAGTCAGCTGTCCATCATATAGCTATAACAGTTTATACAGATGACAGCATCTATAACAGGTCAGTGAAGGCATTATAACTGCTGTTATAACCTGCAACTCAAGCTTCAGTACTAGTTTACATTTCAAATACTGTTTGTTTAGCCTGTCTGTCTGTCTGCAATTTACCATTGAGCACCTTGGAATGCCATCGAGAGCATCCTGACTGGTTGCATCACTGCCTGGTATGGCAACTGCTTGGCATCCGACCGCAAGGCGCTACAGAGGGTAGTGCGTACGGCCCAGTACATCACTGGGGCCAAGCTTCCTGCCATCCAGGACCTATATACTAAGCGGTGTCAGAGGAAGGCCCAAAAAATTGTCAAAGACTCCAGTCACCCTAGTCATAGACTGTTCTATCTGCTACCGCACGGTACCGGAGCACCAAGTCTAGGACCAAAAGGCTCCTTAACAGCTTCTACCCCCAAGCCATAAGACTGCTGAACAATTAATCAAATGGCCACCCGGACTATTTACATTGACCCCCTGCTGCTCCTTGCTGTTTATTATCTATGCATAGTCACTTTACAAATTACCTCGACTAACCTGTACCCCCGCACATTGACTCGGTATCCCCTGTATATAGCTTAGTTATTTTAATGTAATTTTCTTGTTACTTTTTTATTTTAGTTAATTTTTTTACTTTAGTTTATTTAGTATATATTTTCTTAACTCTTTCTTGAACTGCATTGTTGGTTAAGGACTTGTAAGTAAGCATTTCACGGTAAGGTCTACACCTGTTGTATTCGGCATGTGACAAATAAAATTGGATTTGATTTGAATGGATGCGTCTAAAATGGCACCCTATTCCCAATATAGTGCTCTACATTTCGCCATTTCAGACGCACCCCTGGACTTACACCCTTCACTCCCCTGTGCCCTCCAACCGCCGGGGCAAGAAGAAGATGGCCTTCTGCCCTATGTGGGTTCTAGAGCCTAGTTTTGGTTTTCCATTCTTCTTCAGTCCCACGTACCAGCTCCTGTCCTGGCACTTCTGGGCCTGATACGTGTTGTAATGGTTCACCTCTATCTTCTCCAGGAAATAACACTGATCCGTTACTGTCGACTACATGGGAGAGACAGAAACACAGATAGTCGGAATACTTAATCATCACAAACCTACGCTGGTCATTGATTAGATTACCTGGGGGTGGTCAAAGGCTATACATAGTCCAAAACAGATTGGTAAGGTTCTGGGGGTGGTCAAAGGCTATACATAGTCCAAAACAGATTGGTAAGGTTCTGGGGGTGGTCAAAGGCTATAGGTAGTCCAAAACAGATGGGTAAGGTTCTGGAGGTGGTCAAAGGCTATAGGTAGTCCAAAACAGATGGGTAAGGTTCTGGGGGTGGTCAAAGGCTATAGGTAGTCCAAAACAGATGGGTAAGGTTCTGGAGGTGGTCAAAGGCTATAGGTAGTCCAAAACAGATTGGTAAGGTTCACGTAACTAACAGTTGGAATGCAAAGAAGGAAAACATTTTTAAAATGTTTGAGTGATGTAAAATAATTATTTGAAGGATAATAATACTTGTAAATGTCTCCTATCACTATCCTAAATGAATGTGTTGACACCAATGTTAAACAGCACTGTTTCTGTGACTTTTGTGTGTAGGTTAGTTAGGGAGGGTGAAGGGCTCACCATAAGAACAGTCATACAGGCAGTTTAATACTCACTGAACTGTGTAGCTTTCCTTCACTGCTCATGGCCAAGTAGAGTCCTGCCTCTGTCCCCTGGATGACAACCACACCATGGTCCACAGATTTCACCCTCAGGACCGCTAAGGCAAGGACAGGGCAGAAGGCAACATCAGATTGACACAGACAGACAGACCCCCCCACCCCCACACACACAAGATGGCAAACTAACACAACTGTGTTGTTGCAGTCTAAATATATCCCACACATTCCTATCATGATAGAGATAGGCTTTCAGTAATTCACACCCACTGTCCTTATTATTGAGCCTGAGCCATAAAATGATTATGGGCCATTATTACAGTGTGGGAGACTAATGATTATCTGTACCGAAGTTTATGAGCCTGGAAATAACCATTATTTTAGGTCCATTGTGAACTTTTGCAAACTATTAGAGCATGCATCAACATAAATGTATTACAGTTCAATATAAAGTTAATTATTCAGATAAATACAAACGTCTTGATTAGATGAACAATTCAATAAACGAAATAGTAGCCGAATTAATAACATAGATTTTTGTATTATTTACATTGTATTCTTTTTTAATTTGAGAACACAAAATCCACTGAAATATTCTAGTATTTCTGGTTTTACTGTGAATGTCATTCTCGTCCCTCTTGCCTCCCACTGTCCCATCCGGGAGAATCTGCAGATGATGTCCGCCATTCATGCAGTATAGGCGGGTCAGCTTTTTATTGTCGAGCAGGTTACATCCGAATCTCTCAATCTCCTGCCCCACCGGTAAAACCGTTATTTCCTCATCCGTCATTTTTGGATAAACAATAAATTAAAATAGCGACGGTCGGTCACACTACCTGAGAAAAAACACCTGATGCGCGCTCTGCGGCTGCGGTAAGAACGAAAACAACCCGGTAGTAAAATCGCCTCTTGATGGCAAACAGAAACATGTTTGGACTTTATAGTCACCCGTAGAAGCAACAACGATCTGTGGTCACGCGCGTTTGGTCGTGGGGGAGCTGAGCGCTGACCACCAAAGAGGGCGCGTACCCGTAGCCTAATCTGCTCTTTCTTTTCCCACCCAGGAAGTGAAGGATTAAAGTTAGAAACACACTATTAGGATACAACAGTAACACCTGTTACACATACACCTGCTGGCGGTTCCTGTTATATTGGACCAGGACCTGTAAACTATTCATAAAGCATCAGAGTAAGAGTGCTGATCTGGGATCAGATCCCCTCTTGTCCATATAATCTTATTCATTATGATCTAAAAAGGCAAAACTGATCCTAGATTACCACTCCTGCTGTGAGAGAATACAGGCCCTGGTCTCTCTATCCAAATAGATTTTAATCTCAATTAATCTAATCTGAACAAATACATGAATTATTTATTCTAATAAGAGAGAAAATGGCTACTAGGCTACAAGGTAAAATAATCCATCCCAGTTCACAGGAATCCTTGGGGGCCTCATCTTTCCCTATGCGGTTGTGTAGCCTACAACAATAATAAATAATATTTAATTGAATGGCACCCTTAAACAAAGTAATCAAACAAAGACTACACCCCTACAAAGCAAATTTAGGACAACATTGACAAGAAAATGTAATTCGGGAACCAGTAAGGAGGATACACATTCCTGAGGTGGGAGCCAATCTCCCTTGACAACCAGGATATAACTTGAGAGTTTGCGTCAACTGTCCATCCATAAAACCCTCTACAACAGTCTCACTATAGAGACCGTCTGGGAATCTGGGCATAGGAGTCACAGCCTTGTAGCCTGGTCCAAGATCTGTTTGTGCAGTCTTGCCATGGCAAAATGTTTGGTATGCCAACCACCATAGGAGTTGGCCATACAGTACAAACATATCTGGGATCAGGCTATGGGGCCTCAATAAGGAACAAAAAGCAGTTTTCTCCTAACATTATCACTGGCTTTGGGGCATCAAGTGTGGTCATATAAATTCTGTGTTGAAATGCTGATACCAAGAGACTAGCAGTAGCAATATTAGACTGACATGAAAGTGGAGTTTGGTGTAGGAACATCTTTCGGTGCCAAGACATTCATTTCCATAAACTAGAATAGGTCCACTGGCAGCTAGCGAAGGAAATCATTTGGTTACAAATCAAACCAATAAGCACCAGAATAGAAAAGCCCATTTATTGAATGAACCATTGCTTAATTATCATAATATGATTATTAAAAGTATATCTGACAAGGTGACCATTTTCATTGTTCAGAAGTGAGCTAACATCATGATCAATCTGCATACAATTCCTTGTTTTGAAAGATACCACACACAACGAAGATGTCCAGTTCAACATTTAATGGAAGGAAAAGCATCAACATGACCTACTACAGACGAGTAATAATACAGAGGACATATAAAACTATTATTATTTGTGGGAGAAATACAACACATTGTTTTTCTTTACATTGGGTTATGTGTACAGTGGCTTGCGAAAGTATTCACCCCCCCCTTGGCATTTTTCCTATTTTGTTGCCTTACAACCTGGAATTAAAATGGATTTTTTGGGGGTTTGTATCATTTGATTTACATAACATGCCTACCACTTTGAAGATGCAAAATATTTTTTTCTTGTGAAACAAACAAGAAATAAGACAAAAAAAACTGAAAACTTCAGCGTGCATAACTATTCACTCCCCCAAAGTCAATACTTTGTAGAGCCACATTTTGCAGCAATAACAGCTGGAAGTCTCTTGGGGTATGTCTCTATAAGCTTGGCACATCTAGCCACTGGGATTTTTGCCCATTCTTCAAGGCAAAACTGCTCATTCAAGTTGGATGGGTTCTGCTGGTGTACAGCAATCTTTAAGTCATACCACAGATTCTCAATTGGATTGAGGTCTGGGCTTTGACTAGGCCATTCCAAGACATTTAAATGTTTCCCCTTAAACCACTCGAGTTGCTTTAGCAGTATGCTTAGGGTCATTGTCCTGCTGGAAGGTGAACCTCCGTCCCAGTCTCAAATCTCTAGAAGACTGAAACAGGTTTCCCTCAATAATTTCCCTGTATTTAGCGCCATCCATCATTCCCTCAATTCTGACCAGTTTCCCAGTCCCTGCCGATGAAAAACATCCCCTCAGTATGATGCTGCCACCACCATGCTTCACTGTGGGGATGGTATTCTCGGGGTGATGAGAGGTATTTGGTTTGCGCCAGACATAGTGTTTTCCTTGAAGGCCAAAAAGCTCAATTTTAGTCTCATCTGACCAGAGTACCTTCTTCCATATGTTTGGGGAGTCTCCCACATGCCTTTTGGCGAACACCAAACGTGTTCGCTTATTTTTCTCTATAAGCAATGGTTTTTTTCTGGCCACTCTTCCGTAAAGCCCAGTTCTGTGGAGTGTACGGCTTAAAGTGGTCCTATGGACAGATACTCCAATCTTCGCTGTGGAGCTTTGCAGCTCCTTCAGGGTTATCTTTGGTCTCTTTGTTGCCTCTCTGACTAATGCCCTCCTTGCCTGGTCCGTGAGTTTTGATGGGTGGCCCTCTCTTGGCAGGTTTGTTGTGGTGCCATATTCTTTCCATTTTTTAATAATGGATTTAATGGTGCTCCGTAGGATGTTTCAAAGTTTCTGATATTTTTTATAACCAAACCCTGATCTGTACTTTTTTTTGTTTGTTGGTCATTTAGCAGACGCTCTTATCCAGAGCGACTTACAGTTAGTGAGTGCATACATTTTTCATACTGGCCCCCCGTGGGAATCGAACGCCATGCTCTACCAACTGAGCTACACGGGACCACTACTTATCCACATCTTTGTCCGTGACCTGTTTGGAGAGCTCCTTGGTCTTCATGGTGCCGCTTGCTTGATGGTGCCCCTTGCTTAGTGGTGTTGCAGACTCAGGGGCCTTTCAGAACAGGTGTATATATACTGAGATCATGTGGCAGATCATGTGACACTTAGATTGCGCACTAGTGGACTTTATTTAACTCATTATGTGACTTCTGAAGGTAATTGGTTGCACCAGATCTTATTTAGGGGCTTCATAGCAAAGGGGGTGAATACATATGCAACCAACTTTTCCGTTATTTATTTTTTAGCATTTTTTTGAAACAAGTTATTTTTTTTCATTTCACTTCACCAATTTTGGACTATTTTGTGTATGTCCATTACATGAAATCAAAATCCATTTAAATTACAGGTTGTAATGCAACAAAATAGGATAAACGCCAAGGGGGATGAATACTTTTGCAAGGCACTGTACATAATTCAAATTGTGTAAGCAAAACCAATAATCTTCAAAGGAAAGGATATACTAGTGAATCCTCATCATCATCATCATCGTGTCTGCATACGTTTTATACAAAATAGAATTTCAATATTTTGGGTAGTGCAAATTTTCAGGTTCATGCTGGTTGATTACTTTCACAAACAGTTTGTGTGTGAAGTTTTTTGACTGACTACTATGTTCATAGCATTAAGTACACAACATTTGACCAAAGCCACACAAAAAAAGAAATATCAAATGTGTTATAAAACAAAGTCCTGTAGGTCTGTCGTTCCAAGAGCTACTAAGACTACAGGGAAATATGCTGAACTTTAAACTTTGAATCTGGATTTGCTTTGGCCACCTGGTAGAAAATCTAACATTCTGGAACTGTGTTGTCTAAATAAAATGGTATATATTGACACTTGAAAGTTTTCCTGAAAATCTGTCCTGCAGAGAAACACAGAAATAGTTCACTAAAGTGAAAATGTTCTGTCTAAAATAGCTTATATTGGAAAATTAAAAAAGAAATGACATAGTACGTCTATAATCTGTTTAGAGTAACAAGTAACTCATGTATTTGTAATTTCTATTGCATATTTTCAGAATTTCTTGTAAATAATGTACTGCATAATACAATTCCACAGAGACCAATACATTTTTGGATAAGGAGAGGTGAGTAGTTAGTGGTTTCATGCCTATTATATGAAAGGCAACAGCAGAGTACAATTTGTAGCCACACTGAATGTGAAAGTAACCCATAGGAAATACAGACGCAGTTTAGATTGGGAGAATACATTTTCTGATTTTGCTCAACTACTTTTGTATCACCATTGAAAGAAAATACACGTTTTCCTTTAGGATAGACTGGGAAGTTAACAATGGCTAACCAAGTAGTGAGAATATCAGATGACTTTGACGTGTACAGTATGTATGAAACTAACGTACCTGAACGGCCAGGTGAGCTTTTATTTAACCTGACCGTTAATTAATGTCAGAAAAACACACGCTGGGAATCAAAACAGAATGTTTTTGGTTTTAAACAGTTCCATCAGTGAACATAGATGACCACATACATTTTTAACCAATGACAACAACCTGAGTATGGTATAGTTGTTCTTAATAATCACTAATGTATAGCTTCTTATTAGATGTGGGCATAGTGTATGAAAATCAGAAAATGAAACCTGGGTTGGTTTGTTTCAAACACAGAAGAAGACGACGGGAGAAAGAAGGAGAATCTGCACAGAAGCAAAACAAAACATGGATGACAAAGCAGATGCACAAAGCTGGGAAATGTTCTTGGTGACAAACACATAAAAGATGACAAACTCCTGTTGGACTCATTTAGCTCCCTAAGTACATGTGTATAGAAAGGGTTTGTTAGACTAGAGGGTCAACTTGCTATCTATACTAATGCTAGGGAATCTCTTGTGTGGAAAACCAAAAAGGTCAATAGTTCACCTTTTTAGTTTCTTTAATAATCCATTAAATCCATGGTGGACGTAAGCGCTTTAAGACGTTTTTTTTGTTGTTGTTTAAAAAAAAAGTTTTTTTCTGAAATAAACACTGACAATTGTTAAAACAAGGACTGTTAAAACGAGGACTGTTTTCCAAACCTGAAAAGAGAGAGTAGAAATGTAAAAGGTTTGGCACTGCGAGTCCCAGAGGACAGAATGTGGCCCTAAGCTATACCCCCCTCATCAACTAAGCTACAGGCTGTGTCCCAAATCACACCCTATGATCTATGTCCTGCACTACTTTAGACCAGAGCCCTACCCTGGTCAAAAGTAACACACTACTACATAGGGAACAGGGTGTCATTTGGGACGCAGACAGTTTGAGTGCAAGACAAGATGACAGAGAAGGATGTTAGCACTAAGTGCTTTAATGGAAAACTTTTGAGTAACACACACACACACACACACACACTATAAGAGCTGAGACGTACCAAGGTGGGTAATGGGTTGTTGTGTGAGCAGCAGTGGGAAGTTGTCCTAGACCAGGATCCACCAGTGTCAGTTCTCAAGAACCCCTGTGTACGCTGGTTTTCATGCAAACCTGGTTTTCGTCTCACAAAATGGTCCCCGTTGCCAGAATGTAAGCGCTATAATGATTCTTTAGGGATGAATAATGGCAACAGTTACCCGTGTTTCATTCACACACCACTCTACTATCCATTCAAACACATGTGTTCATACAGAGAGCAGAACATAAGAGTATTGAGGGTCAACACTGGGGCCCTCTGCCTTGGACTATTACTGTTTATATTTTACTAAAGTGACCAAGAACTACTGTACAACTCAATTCAAGAACAGCCATTTTCCCATCAAATCTATATGGAAACCATAGCAACCAGCTCTTCTGGTTTTGGGGCTGTCGATGCGTTCCAAAAAAGTACTAAAATAGTATTTAAAAATGAGACGTGTATAAGAGACAAGAGACCGGGAGGTGAATACTGTATGCAGATTGGGAGTATTATTAGATCGATTGATCTTATTGTTATAGTTCACACTGAGGAGCCATTACTGAGCTGCAGTAGCAACAGACAAACACGGCAGCCATTTTAAAAAGGAAAACTGACTGCAACTGCATGTAATAGAAAAAAGACAATCACATACACTGAGGGTCAACCATGATGGTGAAAGAAGAATATCTAGCCTCGGACAGTTAGAGAGAGAGAGAGAGAGAACGGCTAAAATCAGACTTCAAGCTAAAAAGGCACATTTTTTTCTCCCTTTTTCTGATCGACGGTGTGTGTAAACCTGGCAGGTAGCCTAATGTAGACAAAGATAGATCTGTGAACTGTATGCTTTCATTACATAAACAATTTCATCATGTTACGCCTGACATTAAAAAGCAATGCACATGCTTTTGAAATGACAGTTACGAAAAAAATATATATATATTTCACGTCATGTGACTTGATAATCAACTCTGTTCAACAACGTCCTAAAAACGACAGTAGGGCGAGGAATACACAGTGGGTAAACCTGTTGAATAACAGCACAAGGTAGTTATAGTGTTACCTTTGGGGAGGTAAGAAACTACCTGTATAATAAACTGTATATACTGTGGCATCAGAAACGTAGACATCATCATCTTAATAATCTGTACATAGATACTTCTTTAATCTAGATATTGTTAAGTTCTGCGGGTCATACACCTGAGAAAACATGAATGGGTAGTTTATTTCAATCCTATATTTATCTTTAAACTTATGAAAACGTTTATTCCTACTGTTATCCTATATACTAGACCATTGATGTTAAACAAACCAAAAACCTCTGCTGTGTCTCGCCTTCTGCCTCTTGACAAATCTCTCCTTCCTCCTTGATGGCGCTCGTTTCATCCCCAAAATCAGCAAACCCCTGTACATTGTTCCTCCTCTTCTTCCTTGTCTCTCTCTGTCAGGGGGAAGGTGAGGCGAGGGGATTTTAAGGCATTGTGTCTCGGCGGCGGACACGACCAGTGGCGGTAGCACCACACAGTCATTTCTGGTGGAAGAGGAGGGGCTTGACGCTGCCGGCTTTGAATTTTGGTAACTGGTTGCTGATGATCTCTGCTAACATCTCTGGGAACTCCACCGACAGGGACTTGTTGACGAACGTGTAGAAGCAGAAGTCCAGCAGACCACCAACCATCTAAAGGGAAAGCAGAACATCTGACATGTTTATTTATTGTCTGTTGGTCACAGAAATGTTCTCAGTGTACATTGAAAACAAAACAGAAAACACTAAAACAAACCTGGATAGACGAATGACAGGAGAACACATTTAACACATCCTGTCACAACATCTGCAAATTATTGTCACCGTTTCTCATATCTTTGTTCAAAACCCACTAATACTCCTACATGAATCCCATATCTAGATGTCATGGTCAAAACATATAGATTCATTGGTTGTAAAGATGGGGAAAGGTCTGTCCGTAATAAAGAGATGCTCTGCTTTTTTGACACCACACTCCACAAAGCAAGTCCTGCAGTCTCTAGTTTTATCTTGATTATTGTCCAGTCATATGGTCCAGAGCTGCAGAGAAAGACCTAGTTAAGCTGCAGCTGATCCAGAACAGAGCCACACGTCTTGCTCTTCATTGGAATCAGAGGGCTAATATTAATACTATGTATGCCAGTCTCTCTTGGCTAAGAGTTGAGGAAAGACTGACTGTCACTTCTTGTTTTTATAAGAAACATTAACGGGTTGGAAATTCCAAAGTGTTTGCATAGTCAACTTACACACGGCACTGACACACACACTTACCCCACCAGACATGCCACCAGGGGTCTTTTCACAGCACTGACACACACACTTACCCCATCAGACATGCCAGCAGGGGTCTTTTCACAGTCCCCAGTTCCAGAACAAATTCAAGGAAACGTACAGTATTATACAGAGCCATGAGTGCATGGAACTCCCTTCCATCTTATATAGTGCAAGTGAACAGCAAACCTGGTTTCAAAAACCAAATAAAGCAACACTTCACGACACAACGCCTCTCCCCCATGTGACCTACTTGTTGTGTGTATGTACTGACATGTATGTGTAACTGATAGATGCTCACACACACACACACACTACATGTTAATGTTTTAAATGTATGTCAATTGTAAAGTATTTTGTCTGTAATGTCTTTTTCATTATGTGTCAGACCCCAGTAAGACTAGCTGTCGCCATTGGCGTCGGCTAATTGGGATCGTAATAAATCAAATCAAATGCCATGTGCATAGAAACATGAATCCAATTTCTAGCTGCATGCCATGTGTACAGAAACTGAATCATGAATCTCATATCTAGCTGTATGCCATGTGTACAGAAACTGAAACTGAAACATGAATCTCATATCTAGCTGTATGCCATGTGTACAGAAACTGAAACATGAATCTCATATCTAGCTGTATGCCATGTGTACAGAAACTGAAACTGAAACATGAATCTCATATCTAGCTGTATGCCATGTGTACAGAAACTGAAACTGAAACATGAATCCAATTTCTAGCTGCATGCCATGTGTACAGAAACTGAATCATGAATCTCATATCTAGCTGTATGCCATGTGTACAGAAACTGAAACTGAAACATGAATCTCATATCTAGCTGTATGCCATGTGTACAGAAACTGAAACTGAAACATGAATCTCATATCTAGCTGTATGCCACGTGTACAGAAACTGAAACATGAATCTCATATTTATTGCGCTCCAGACCACCAGGAGGCAGCAATATTTTTATGTCTTAAAGGGGCAGTGTTGTATTTTGAGACAGGCTTGAATAAGCTAAGTAGCCAATAGGCAGAGGGTAGCATAATTTGTCTGATTCTGTGTAATAATGGTATGGGAATAATAATGCATTATATTTTGTAAAGTGGTTTCTTGCATAAAAACAACACAACACCATTTGCTGAAGGGACTTCCATTCAGCCACAAGAGCATTAGTGAGGTCGGGCACTGATGTTGGGCGATTAGGCCTGGCTCGCAGTCGGCGTTCCAATTCATCCCAAAGGTGTTCAATGGGGTTGAGGTCAGGACTCTGTGCAGGCCAGTCAAGTTCTTCCACACTGATCTCGACCAACCATTTCTGTATGGACCTCGCTTTGTGCACGGGGGCATTGTCATGCTGAAACAGGAAAGGGCCTACCCCAAACTGTTGCCTACCCTGAACCAGGAAAAACAGACCCAGACCATTATTCCTCCTCCACCAAACTTTACAGTTGGCACTATGCATTGGGGCAGGTAGCGTTCTCCTGGCATCCGCCAAACCCAGATTAATCCGTCGGACTGCCAGATGGTGAAGCGTGATTTATCACTACAGAGAACGCATTTCCACTGCTCCAGAGTCCAATTTCATGAAGCTCCCGACAAACAGTTCGGAACTCGGCAGTTCGGAGGAACCAAGGAAACAACGATTTTTACGGGCTAGATCCTTCAGAACTCGGTGGTCCCGTTCTGTGAGCTTGTGTGGCCTACCACTTCGCGGCTGAGCCATTGTTGCTCCTAGACGTTTCCACTTCACAATAACAGCACTTACGGTTGACCGGGGCAGCTCTAGCAGGGCAGAGATTTGACGAACTGACTTGTTGGAAAGGTGGCATCCTATGACGGTGCCAGATTGAAAGTCACTGAGCTCTTCAGTAAGGCCATTCTACTGCCAATGTTTGTCTATGGAGATTGCATGGCTTTGTGCTCGATTTTATACACCTGTCAGCATGGGTGTGGCTGAAATAGCCAAATCCACTAATTTGAAGGGGTGTCCACATACTTTTGTATATATAGTGTATTAATATATATTTTTAAACATTGCAAATGTATTGAAAATGAAATACAGAAATCTAATTTACATAAGTATTCACACCCCTGAATCAATACTTTGTAGAACCACCTTTGGCAGCGATTACAGCTGTGCGTCTTTCTGGGTCTCTAAGAGCTTTCCACACCTGGATTGTGCAACATTTGCCCATTATTCTTTTCAAAATGCTTCATGCTCTGTCAAATTGGTTGTTCATCATTGCTAGACAGCCATTTTCAGGTCTTGCCATAGATTTTCAAGCAGATTTAAGTCAAAACTAACTCAGCCACTCAGGAGCATTCACTTTCTTCTTGGTAAGCAACTCCAGTGTAGATTTGGCCTTGTGTTTTAAGTTATTGTCCTGCTGAAAGGGGAATTAATCTACCAGTGTCTGGTGGAAAGCAGACTGAACCAGGTTTTCCTCTAGGATTTTGCCTGTGCTTAGCACCATTATGTTTCTTTTTAAGTCCTTAACGATTACAAGCATACCCATAACGTGATGCAGCCACCACTATGCTTGAAAATATGGAGAGTGGTCCTCAGTAATGTGTTGTATTGGATTTGACCCAAACATATCGCTTCGTATTCAGGACAAAAAGTGAATTGCTTTGCCACATTTTTTGCATTATTACTTTTGTGCCTTGTTGCAAACAGGATGCATGTTTTGGAACATGTTTATTCTGTACAGGCTTCCTTCCTTTCACTCTGCCAATTAAGTTAGTATTGTGGAGCAACTGCAATGTTTTTGATCCATCCTCAGTTTTCTCCTATCCTAGCCATTAAACTCTGTAATTGTTTTAAAGTCACCATTGGCCTCACGGTGAAATAACTGAGCGATTTCCTTCCTCTCCGGCAACTGAGTTAGGAAGGACGCCTGTATCTTTGTAATGATTGGGTGTATTGATACACCATCCAAAGTGTAATTAATAACTTCACCATGCTCAAAGGGATATTCAATGTCTGTTTCTTTTTTTTTTTTACCCATCTAGCAATAGGTGCCCTTCTTTGCGAGGCATTGGAAAACCTCCCTGGTCTTTGTGGTTGAATCTGTGTTTGATATTCTCTGCTTGACTGAGGGACCTTACAGATAATTGTATGTGTGGGGTACAGAGATGAGGTAGTCATTAAAAAATCATGTCAAACACTATTATTACACACAGAGTGAGTCCATGCAACTTAATATGTGACCTGTTAAGCAAATGTTTATTCCTGAACTTATTTAGGCTTGCCATAACAAATGGGTTGAATACTTATTGACTCAAGACATGTCAGCTTTTTATTTTAAATGAATTTGTTAAAAAATTAACATTATGGGGTTTTGTGCGTGGGACAGTGACCAGCATCACTGCCTGGAATGGCGACTGCTCGGCCTCCGACCGCAAGGCACTACAGAGGGTAGTGCGTACGGCCCAATACATCACTGGGGCCAAGCTTCCTGCCATCCAGGACCTATGTACTTGGCAGTGTCAGAGGAAGGCCCAAAAAATTGTCAATGACTCCAGTCACCCAAGTCATAGACTGTTCTCTCTGCTACCACACGAAAAGCAGTACCGGAGTACCAAGTCTAGGTCCAACAGGCTCCTTAACAGCTTCTACCCCGAAGCCATAAGACTACTGAACAATTAATCAAATGGCCACCCGGACTGGCTAGGCCACTCCAGGACCTTGAAATGCTTCTTACGAAGCCACGCCTTCCTTGCCCGGGCGGTGTGTTTGGGATCATTGTCATTCTGAAAGACCCAGCCAGTTTCATCTTCAATGCCCTTGCTGATGGAAGAAGGTTTTCACTCAAAATCTCACGATACATTCATTCATTCATTCTTTCCTTTACACGGATCAAGAAATCAATTTCTCTCTGCAGGTCACTCACTAGGTCCCCCCGTTGTGGTTCTGGGATTTTTGCTCACCGTTCTGTGATAATTTTGACCCCACGGGGTGAGATCTTGCGTGTAGCCCCAGATCGAGGGAGATTATCAGTGGTCTTGTATGTCTTCCATTTCACTAATAATTGCTCCCACAGTTGATTTCTTCAAACCAAGCTGCTTACCTATTGCAGATTCAGTCTTCCCAGCCTGGTGCAGGTCTACAATTTTGTTTCTGGTGTCCTTTGACAGCTCTTTGGTCTTGGCCATAGTGGAGTTTGGAGTGTGACTGTTTGAGGTTGTGGACAGGTGTCTTTTATACTGATAACAAGTTCAAACAGGTGCCATTAATAAAGGTAACGAGTGGAGGACAGAGGAGCCTCTTAAAGAAGAAGTTACCGGTCTGTGAGAGCCAGAAATCTTGCTTGTTTTGTAGGTGACCAAATACTTATTTTCCACCATAATTTGCAAATAAATTCATTAAAAAATCCTACAATGTGATTTTTCCTGGAAAAAAAATTATCTATTGTCTGTCATAGTTGACGTGTACCTATGATGAAAATTACAGGCCTCTCTCATCTTTTTAAGTGGGAGAACTTGCACAATTGGTGGCTGACTAAATACTTGTTTTCCCCCACTGTAAGCTATACATTTTGAGTTGCAATTGGCTGACACAGATAACAAGCTTGCGCAGTTCTCATCACCTCATACACATTAAATTAACAGAAGATGGGTCCAATTGGGTCCAGACGGTCAATCAATTTTGATTGTACATACCCAAGACCCGTGGCAATTAAATCAGACCCAACCCAGATCCGAGGCAAAAGTCAGAATTTAGGACCCGGTCCCGGGCCTTATCTCAGGATTTTGGGTCTGTTGGACACGTGAAGACCTCTAATGTGTACCTCGTGCATGGAGTCAAGAAGCTTGGTGAGCTGGTAGAAGCGTTGCCAGTTCTGGCTGGAGTTTTCCTCCCTCTTGACGATGGCCTTCCCCAACTCCTTAATGTAGGACATCCTGATGTCATCAAACACTGCCTGACTCTTCAGACCATCCTTTGGCACTGGGGGGGAGGGGAGACAACACAATACATCAACCTCTGTGTGCCTTTCTCGAGACCATACTTTGGCACTAAATGGAAACATAACAGGAAATGTGTTCAATAAACCCAGTAAGTCATACCTATGCAGTTCCCCTTCCATTATATGTTGAAAATGTTGAGCGAAAATACAATAAGATGAAATAGGAAACTTTTATTTTGACATCCCAATGCCAGGATCAACATTAAAAAAAAAGAACACTAAAAACCCAGGAACACACAGCCATCAATCAGGAAATAGGTTGGCATATTGTTATGGACTCAAGTGTGAAAGGTCAAAGTAAAAGCGGGGCTGAGACTCACCGGTGCTGAGCAGCAGCAGAACCTTCATACACAGATACTCGTCATGAGACACCTGCAGTCTGACAAACTCACTGGAGATCTTCAACATCTGTTCACACTGGTCTGTCATGTAGGGCAGCTTCATACGGTCCCTGAGGAGGAGAGAGAGACAGGTATGTTAATGATGATGTCATACTGGTCTGCCATGTAGGGCAGCTTCATACGGTCCCTGATGAGGAGAGAGAGACAGGTATGTTAATTATGATGTCATACTGGTCTGTCATGTAGGGCAGCTTCATACGGTCCCTGATGAGGAGAGAGAGACAGGTATGTTAATTATGATGTCATACTGGTCTGGGCAGCTTCATACGGTCCCTGATGAGGAGAGAGAGACAGGTATGTTAATGATGAGACTAAGACAGATTGAAGACAGATACTGGCGCGAGAGAGAGAGACTGGAACGAACTGCAAAAATCTCTGAAGCTGGAGATTCTTATCTCCCTCACTAACTTTAAGCATCAGTTGTCAGAGCACCTTACCGATCACTGCACCTGTACACAGCCCTTCTGAAATTAGCCCACTCAACTACCTCATCCCCATATTGTTATTTATTTTGCTCATTTGCACCCCAGTATCTCTTATCATCTCTTGCACATCTATCATTCCAGTGTTAATACTAATTGTAATTATTTTGCACTATGGCCTATTTATTGCCTTACCTCCATAACTTACTACATTTGTACACATTGTATATATATTTTCTGTGGTATTTTTGACTTTATGTTTTGTTTACCCCATATGTAACTCTGTGTTGTTGTTTTTATCGCACTGCTTTGCTTTATCTTGGCCAGGTCTCAGTTGTAAATGAGAACTTGTTCTCAACTGGCTTACCTGGTTAAATAAAGGTGAAATTAAAAATTAAAATACAAAACTAAGACAGATTGAAGACAGATACTGGAGAGAGCGAGAGAGAGACTAAGACAGATTGAAGACAAATAATGGAGAGAGAGAGACAGAGACTAAAACAGATTGAAGACAGATACTGGAGAGAGCGAGAGAGACTAAGACAGATTGAAGACAAATAATGGAGAGAGAGAGAGAGAGAGAGCGAGACAGACAACGAGACATACTGGTTGATGACGAGGTCTGGAGCGAAGCAGAGCATGTTCCCGTCACACTGCTGGTAGGATCTCCAGCCCAGGCCGAAGGACATGAGGAACAACCAGGAACACTGCAGCAGAGTCATCTGGTCGTCCAGGTGAAGGTTCCGGAACCCTGCACGGGAAGATAACAGAACACTGAATGACTAAAGGTTCCATTTCCCTGATGATACTGTATAGTAATGCTATCTAAGGTTTCCAACAGTGTCTCTTAGAGAGAGTGGTACCTGGCAGGGACTTGGCCCACTTGACGGCTGATACGACCTGTCGTCCCCCCAGCCTGTTGAGGGTGGTCATGATGCGTGTGGAGGTGTCTGGCAGGGTGCCGTCGTAGCCAGAGTAGATGGTGTCTGGCTCGATGGCCTTCAGTAGAGACAGCATGGTGGGGGTGAGCTGGGGCATGGACTTAGGGACCAGCGACCTGGCCTCTGGGAGGGGAGGGGGGGTCAGCTCGGCCGTGGTGGGCTGCTGCACCCCCTTTAAATGGTTCAGCTTCTTGGTTTTACGAGCTGTGGGGATGGAGAGAGGGAGCGAGGCGGTAGATTGAGTGACCATGATCTCTAATATATCTACTTGTATCTGGTATTTGAGGTTGTAGTAGCTTGTAGTCATAGACTGAGTTGTACACCAATTTACATCAAAACAAATCTAGAATCTGTACAATAAAACAACGTAAAAGAGTGTACCTTCCAGGTTCATCCCTGCCATCAGATAATAAAACAAGGTAAAATAGTTTAGCTTCCAGATTCATCCCTGCCATCAGACAATAAAACAAGGTAAAATAGTTTAGCTTCCAGGTTCCTCCCTGCCATGAGACAATAAAACAAGGTAAAATAGTTTAGCTTCCAGGTTCATCCCCGCCATGAGACAATAAAACAAGGTAAAATAGTTTAGCTTCCAGGTTCAACCCTGCCATCAGACAATACAACAAGGTAAAATAGTTTAGCTTCCAGGTTCATCCCTGCCATTAGACAATAAAACAAGGTAAAATAGTTTAGCTTCCAGGTTCATCCCTGCCATGAGACAATAAAACAAGGTAAAATAGTTTAGCTTCCAGGTTCATCCCTGCCATCAGACAATACAACAAGGTAAAATAGTTTAGCTTCCAGGTTCATCCCTGCCATGAGACAATAAAACAAGGTAAAATAGTTTAGCTTCCAGGTTCCATTTTCTTTAAATGGCCTCTTTACAATGTGAAACATGTAAAGTGTGGTGTACCGCAGGGCAGCTCTCTAGGCCCTCGACTCTTTTCTATTTTTACCAATGACCTGCCACTGGCATTAAACAAAGCATGTGTGTCCATGTGTGCTGATGATTCAACCATACACGCATCAGCGACCACAGCTAATGAAGTCAATTAAACCCTTAACAAAGAGTTGCAGTCTGTTTTGGAATGAGTGGCCAATTTTATTTTAAAATGTATTAAATTGTATTTTTTCCTCAATCTACACATAATGACAAAGCCAAAACAGGTTTTTAGAAATTTGTTGTTAATTTATATTAAATATATATATGACATTTACATAGTTATTCAGACCCTTTACTCAATACTTTGTTGAAGCACCTTCGGCAGCAATTACAGCCTCGAGTCTTCTTGGGTATGACGCTACAAGCTTGGCACACCTGTATTTGGGGAGTTTCTCCCATTCTTCTCTGCAGAACCTCTCCAGAGATGTTCGATTGGGTTCAAGTCCGGCCTCTGGGCTCTGGCTGGGCCACTCAAGGACATTCAGAGACTTGTCCCGAAGCCACTCCTGCGTTGTCTTGGCTGTGTGCTTAGGGTCGTTGTCCTGTTGGAAGGTGAACCTTCGCCCCAGTCTGAGGTCCTGAGCGCTCTGGAGCAGGTTTTCATCAAGGATCTCTATACTTTGCTCCGTTCATCTTTCCCTCGATCCTGACTAGTCTCCCAGTCCCTGCTGCCGAAAAACACCCCCACAGCATGATGCTGCCACCACCATGCTTCACCATAGGGATGGTGCCAGGTTTCCTCCAGATGTGACGCTTGGCCAAAAAGTTCAATCTTGCTTTCATCAGACCAGAGAATCTTGTTTCTCATGGTCTGAGAGTCTTTAAGTGCCTTTTGGCAAACTCCAAGCGGGCTGTCATGTTTCTTTTACTGAGGAGTGGCTTCCGTCTGGCCACTCTACCATAAAGGCCTGATTGGTGGAGTGCTGCAGAGATGGTTGTCCATCTGGAAGGTTCTCCCATCTCCACAGAGGAACTCTAGAGCTCTGTCAGAGTGAACATCGGGTTCTTGGTCACCTCCCAGACCAATGCCCTTCTCCCCCGATTGCTCAGTTTGGCCAGGCAGCCAGCTCTAGGAAGAGTCTTGGTGGTTCCAAACTTCTTCCATTTAAGAATGATTGAGGCCACTGTGTTCTTGAGGACCTTCAATGCTGCAGAAATGTTTTGGTACCCTTCCCCAATCCTGTCTCGGAGCTCTACGGACAATTCCTTCGACCTCATGGCTTGGTTTTTGCTTCTGACATGCACTGTCAACTGTGGGACCTTATATAGACAGGTGTGTGCCTTTCCAAATCATGTCCAATCAATTGGATCTACCACAGGTGGACTCCAATCAAGTTGTAGAAACATCTCAAGGATGATCAATGGAAACAGGATGCACCTGAGCTCAATTTCGAGTCTCATAGCAAGGGGTCTGAATACTTATGTAAATAAGGTATGTGTTTTAAATTGTTTATAAATTTGCAACAATTTCTAAAAACCTGTTTTCGCTTTGTCATTACTGGGTATACTGTGTAGATTGCTGAGGACTTATTTATTTATTTAATCCATATGTTAATGATGATCTCATACTGGTCTGTCATGTAGGGCAGCTTCATACGGTCCCTGATGAGGAGAGAGAGACAGGTATGTTAATTATGATGTCATACTGGTCTGGGCAGCTTCATACGGTCCCTGATGAGGAGAGAGAGACATGTATGTTAATGATGAGACTAAGACAGATTGAAGACAGATACTGGCGAGAGAGAGAGACTGGAACGAACGGCAAAAATCTCTGAAGCTGGAGACTTATCTCCCTCACTAACTTTAAGCATCAGTTGTCAGAGCACCTTACCGATCACTGCACCTGTACACAGCCCTTCTGAAATTAGCCCACTCAACTACCTCATCCCCATATTGTTATTTATTTCGCTCATTTGCACCCCAGTATCTCTATTTGCACATCATCTCTTGCACATCTATCATTCCAGTGTTAATACTAATTGTAATTATTTTGCACTATGGCCTATTTATTGCCTTACCTCCATAACTTACTACATTTGAACACACTGTATATATATTTTCAGTGGTATTTTTTGACTTTATGTTTTGTTTACCCCATATGTAACTCTGTGTTGTTGTTTTTATCGCACTGCTTTGCTTTATCTTGGCCAGGTCGCAGTTGAAAATGAGAACTTGTTCTCAACTGGCTTACCTGGTTAAATAAAGGTTAAATAAAAAATAAAACTAAGACAAATTGAAGACAGATACTGGAGAGAGAGAGAGAGACTAAGACAGATTGAAGACATACTGGAGCGAGAGAGAGACAGACAGACTAAAACAGATTGAAGACAGATACTGGAGAGAGAGAGAGAGCGCGAGAGAGACAGAGACAAAGAGACATACTGGTTGATGACGAGGTCTGGAGCGAAGCATTCTAATCCATTTTAGAATAAGGCTGTAACGTAACAAAATGTTGAAAAAGTCAAGGGGTCTGAATACTTCAATGGTTGTAATGAGACATGAGACAATAAAACAAGGTAAAAGAGCGTACCTTCCAGGTTCATCCCTGCCATGAGACAATAAAACAAGGTAATAGAGCGTACCTTCCAGGTTCATCCCTGCCATGAGACACTTGCGGAAGCGGCAGGCTGGACAGTTCTTCCTTCTGATCTTATCGATGATGCAGTCGTTCCTCCCAGCACACAGGTAGTTGTGTTGCCCTGAGACACAAGAAAAAATCATTTGAATGACAAAAAATATAATAAAGTACTATATTCTTGACAGCATTATTTCCCCTTGCATCACACTGGATCAGCAAGCCTCCAACTTGCAAATCAAATGTCTGCATTGTCTTTATAAGAACAGGCACAAACAAGTACAGTATCATTTATGATATGCATACCGAACACCATTCCATGCCACCAGCTGTGTACCAGTATCAGTTGTACCAGTTGTCCTACCATCTCACCCCTTGCCATCCTACCCTGCCAGTATCTACCGTAAACCAAACGTCATTCCATGCCACCACAGTACAAGGTGTCTTACCATCTCACTCCTTGCCACAGGCAAGTATTGATGATATATAAACCAACATCATTTCATGCCATCACCAGTGGTAGCCCAGTCCCAGATCGGTTTCTGCCGACTTGGCAAGATAGTAAAAATCAGATCTGGGACCAGACCATACCAGTTGTCCTACTATCTAACCTCTTGGCAAGATAGTAAAAACAGATCTGGGACCAGACCATATCAGTTGTCCTAGCATCTCACCCCTTGCCACTGTACCTTCCACGGCTCTCTTGAAGAACACCTTGCAACTTCCGCAGGTGAGCACCCCATAGTGACAGCCAGACGCCTCATCTGAACACACCAGACAGATCTTATGGGTGGTCCCGGCCTTGCCCTGGGTTGTAGACAACGCAGCGCCACCACCCTGCCTGGAGGTAGAACTGCATTGAGAGGAGAGCAGGGAAGACAGGAGAGAGGGAGGAGGAGGAGAGTTTAGAGTCAGTAACAAGTGCGATTTTCTGAATGAATACAAAATAATAACTTGGCCACACTATGATGATGCTTCTGGGATTCTGAAAACATACCGACACTATTTCCACAGAGACAGACTCTCTTATGTACCAGCTCACCCAGAAGCATGTGGCTGGAACACTGTAGCAAGCAGGGGAACTCGACACATGTACTTCCCTCTGCTCTTGGAAAGCATCCCTTCCACAGTTTCACAACATACACATATTCCAAACAAGTCAGGGGCTTTGGCACTTCTGTTGTTACATTTCCTACATTTTGGTCAGTTGAGATCAGCTCCATTACATTTATTGTGGAACTTACAAGACTACCTGTGTGCTTGGTTGAGTTTCTTTTTTCTGAAAAGTCCTAAATGTACCACTAATCCTTTAAGATCCAAAGAATAAACATCTAACTGTGGTTAAACAATTTCCTCTTTGGCCTCCACACCATCTAAAGACCTGTGGTTGGATCACCATACCTGTGGTCGTCATGAAGCTAACACCCTCTCTATGACTGGAGCATAACTGTTCTTAGAATCACAGTTCTTTGAATTATATCTAAAGCATACAGAATGTTGCAGATAGAAATGTCATGAATAGAGCTACCATGATCACTTTCTCTACATGTCAGAGGCCTGTCTGTTCTTTAACATATATTTCTATCTGATTTGGAAGGTTTCTCAACATGTTGTCCGTCTGACCGTGTCCTAGCTGTTTGATGTGCCCTTTCCCAAACACACCACTAGGTGGAGCCGTTACTTGCTGCAGTAATGTGCTGCTACTTCCTCTGCTGTAGTCTCAGGTCCCCACCCCCCTGGTGTTGCTACTGTTTCCTGCTAAGCGCCAGCCACAGCAGCGCCTACGCCCACTGTACTGAGCAACACAGACTCAGAGCGGTACTGAGGACATAGCCTGCTACGACACAGCTGCAGCAAACCTCATCTGTCTGCCACAACACAAACATCTGGGCTATCTTCATCTGATCCGTTTAGAAGTCACCGGCTGCTTCTCAAACGACCCCCTATTAGGGGACTGTATGGGGAATATAGGGAGGCATTAGATGTAGGCCCTAGTCTCAGCTGCTGAGACAGAGCAGCACTCACAGAGCATACAGCTTCTACTACACCTCATTACTGAGCAGGCCAACTACTACACCTCATTACTGAGCAGGCCAACAACAACTACTACACCTCATTACTGAGCAGGCCCACAACTACTACACCTCATTACTGAGCAGGCCAACAACAACTACTACACCTCATTACTGAGCAGGCAACAACAACTACTACAACCTCATTACTGAGCAGGCCAACAACACTACTACACCTCATTACTGAGCAGGCCAACAACTACTACACCTCATTACTGAGCAGGACCAACAACAACTACTTACACCTCATTACTGAGCAGGGCCAAAACACTACTACACCTCATTACTGAGCAGGCAAACACAACTACTACACCTCATTACTGAGCAGGCAACAACAACTACTACAACCTCATTACTGAGCAGGCCAACAACATACTACTACACCTCATACTGAGCAGGCCAACAACAACTACTACACTCATTACTGAGCAGGCCAACAACAACTACTACACCTCATTACTGAGCAGCCAAAAACAACCTATCTACACCTCATTACTGGAGCTGGCCAACAAACAACTACTACACCTCCTTAACTGAGCAGAGCCCAACACCAACTACTACACCTCATTACTGAGCTGGCCCAACAACAACTAACACACCCCTCATTAACTGAGCAGCGACCAACCACCAACTACTCACACCCTCATTACTGAGCAGGTCCCAACAACAACTACTACAACCTCATTACTGAGGCAGGGCCAACCAACAACTACTTACTACACCAATTACTGGAGCACGGCCAACAACACTAACTATACTACACCTCAGTACTTGAGCAGGCCAACAACAACTACTACACCTCTTACTGAGCAGGCCAACAACAACAACTACACCTCATTACTGAGCAGGCCAACACTACACTACACCTCATTACTGAGGCAGGCCAACAAAACTACTACACCTCATTACTGAGCAGGCCAACAACTAACTACTACACCTCATTACTGAGCAGGCCAACACAACTACACCCTCATACGATCAGGCCAAACACTCCATTACTGAGCAGGCCAAACAACAACTACTACACCTCATTACTGAGCAGGCCAACTACTACACACCTCATTACTGAGCAGGCCAACACACTACTACACCTCATTACTGAGCTAGGCCAACAACAACACTACACCTCATTACTGAGCAGGCACAACTACTAACCTCATTACTGAGCAGGCCACACAACACTACACCTATTACTGACACACTACTAACCTCATTACTGGCAGGCCAACAACAACTACTACACCTCATTACTGAGCTGGCCAACAACTACTACACCTCATTACTGAGCAGGCCAACAACAACTACTACACCTCATTACTGAGCAGGCCAACAACAACTACTACACCTCATTACTGAGCAGGCCAACAACCTACTACACCTCATTACTGAGCTGGCCAACAACAACTACTACACCTCATTACTGAGCTGGCCAACAACAACTACTACACCTCATTACTGAGCATGGCCACAACACTAACTATACACCTCATTACTGAGCTAGGCCACAAACTACTACACCTCATTACTGAGCATGGCAACACACTACACCTCATTACTGAGCTGGCCAACAACAAACTACTACACCTCATTACTGAGCTGGCCACACAACTACTACACCTCATTACTGAGCTGGCCAACACAACTACTACACCTCATTACTGAGCATGCCAACAACACCTACACATCATTACTGAGCAGGCCAACAACAACTACTACACCTCATTACTGAGCAGGCCAACAACAACTACTACACACTCATTACTGAGCGGCCAACAACAACTACTACACCTCATTACTGAGCAGGCCAACAACAACTACTACACCTCATTACTGAGCAGGCCAACAACAACTACTACACCTCATTACTGAGCAGGCCAACAACAACTACTACACCTCATTACTGAGCAGGCCAACAACAAACTACACCTCATTACTGAGCAGGCCAACAACAACTACTACACCTCATTACTGAGCAGGCCAACAACAACTACTACACCTCATTACTGAGCAGGCCAACAACAACTACTACACCTCATTACTGAGCAGGCCAACAACAACTACTACACCTCATTACTGAGCTGGCCAACAACAACTACTACACCTCATTACTGAGCAGGCCAACAACAACTACTACACCTCATTACTGAGCAGGCCACAACAACTACTAAACCTCATTACTGAGCTGGCCAACAACAACTACTACACCTCATTACTGAGCAGGCCAACAACAACTACTACACCTCATTACTGAGCAGGCCAACAACTAACTACTACACCTCATTACTGAGCAGGCCAACAACAACTACTACACCTCATTACTGAGCTGGCCAATTTCTACTACTACACCTCATTACTGAGCTGGCCAACAACAACTACTACACCTCATTACTGAGCAGGCCAACAACACTACTACACCTCATTACTGAGCAGGCCAACAACAACTACTACAACCTCATTACTGAGCAGCCAACAACAACTACTACAACTCATACTGAGCTGGCCAACAAAACTACTACACCTCATTACTGAGCAGGCCAACACAACTACTACACCTCATTACTGAGCAGGCCACAACAACTACTACACCTCATTACTGAGCTGGCCAACAACAACTACTACACCTCATTACTGAGCTGGCGAACAACAACTACTACACCTCATTACTGAGCTGGCCAACTACAACTACTACACCTCATTACTGAGCAGGCCAAACACAACTCTACACCTCATTACTGAGCAGGCCACAACAACTACTACACCTCATTACTGAGCTGCCACAAAACAACTACTACACCTCATTACTGAGCAGGCCAACAACAACTACTACAACACCTCATTACTGAGCAGGCCAACAACAACTACTACACCTCATTACTGAGCGGCACACTACTACACCCATACGAGTGGCCAACTACTCACCTCATTACTGAGCAGGCCAACAACTACTACTACACCTCATTACTGAGCAGGCCAACAACAACTACTACACCTCATACTGAGCAGGCCAACAACAACTACTACACCTCATTACTGAGCAGGCCACAACAACTACTACACCTCATTACTGAGCAGGCCAACACTACTACTACACCTCATTACTGAGCAGGCCAACACAACTACTACACCTCATTACTGAGCAGGCCAACAACTATACAACCTCATTACTGAGCAGGCCAACAACAACTACTACACCTCATTACTGAGGGCCAACAACAACTACTACACCTCATTACTGAGCAGGCAACAACACTACTACAACCTCATTACTAGCAGGCCAACTACTACACCTCATTACTGAGCAGGCCAACAACAAACTAACACCCTCATTATGAGCAGGCCAACAACACACTACACACCTCATTACTGAGCAGGCAACAACAACTACTACACTCATTACTGAGCTGGCCAACACAACTACTAACCTCATTACTGAGCAGGCCAACAACAACTACTACACCTCATTACTGAGCAGGCCAACAACAACTACTACACCTCATTATGAGCAGGCCAACAACACTACTACACCTCATTACTGAGCAGGCCAACAACACTACACACCTCATTACTGAGCAGGCCAACACAACTACTACACCTCATTACTGAGCAGGCCAACAACAACTACTACACCTCATTACTGAGCAGGCCACAACAACTACTACCACTACCCACAACATACCTCATTACTGAGCTGGCCAACAACAACTACTACACCTCATTACTGAGCAGGCCAACAACAACTACTACACCTCATTACTGAGCTGGCCAACAACAACTACTTAC